TTACAGCGCTAAAGTATCTTGTTATTTTGTGGGCTAACGTAGCGTGGGCTGTGGATCATCTACTTCATGAAGCTTTCAGTTCCCTGTTTACACCCAGTGATGTCCTGGTGTTGCTCTTGGGTGAGGAGTAGACAGGCCAGAGGAAGTTTGTTAAAGGTCAAAGACACACTGTGCGGTACAGAAATCAGCCAAGGGCTGATATTAGGAAAATATGCTCTAAGCTCAAAGAACTCCACAAATGGAAAGATGCATTTATAGCTCTGAGGATTTATTCATGGCCTGTGCTCCCCAGTGCAATATACAATCAGAAATTTATGCATTCTAATTCCTGCCTTGCTCCCTGCTATGACTTTTAAAGTCATTTTTATTTCTCCTAATGGGCAAGGTCCAATTTTCATTTCTTTGTTAGAAAGGAAAGTATCTGGGTCGTAATTTAGTTCCACAAATTTTAGTTAATCTTGTAAGGACAATTTGACATCTGGAGTAGATTTCGAGGTGTGTGTGTGTTTGTGTGTGTGTGTGTGTGTGTGTGACTTAAACCAAACCTTTGATTTCATTTCTGAAGAACTCCCTCTACAAATAAAGATCAGATAGGTACCTTCCATGTAGCTTAAGGTCTCTGAGAGATGCCTGAGGTCACTGAAAACTTACAAGATTTGCCTAGAGTCACACATGTAGCCAGTGCTAATGATGGCACATAAACCTGGGACATCTGGACTTTGTGGTCCAAATTCACTCTGTCCTTCTACTTGTGGCCACAAGTGGAAAAAGGAAAAGACAAGGATCTGGACACGTTCAACACTTTGCTGGTGACCATCACCCTTCTTAGAAGCATGGAAGGATGACGGACCCACTTGCCTGCAACATTCACCAACTGGAGTCAGGCTCCCAGAACCTTGAATCCTCACTGCTGATCTAGAAGGGACTTAGAGGTCATCTAGTCCAACACCCTAGTTTTACAAATGAGGAAACAAACTGAGAGAGGAGAAGCCTAAGATCATAGAGTTTATAATGTACAGAGTCAAGAATCAAAACTCAGATCCTCAGAGTAGAAGCTTAGCATTCCTTCCCCAGTACCAAGTGTCTTCTTGGATAACATCCTTTCAGGTTTCTGAGCTGCGCATTGAAATACATGCAAGGGAACTTGTCACCCACAAGTTATACTTGTGATACTTCTGGAAGTGTCAGGAAACAAAATTTCTAATCTGAGTAATCTGTAAAATGTTGACAACTTTTTTTTTCTTTTAAGGAGCATTTAATAAGCATGGTTCTCATCTATCACTGTCGGAGAAAAGGCTACTAATCCTAATATTGCTTCAGGATCTGTGATTCGTCAGGGTAGCTATTTCCTCCTCCCAAGGAGAATCATAATGCCCTCCTTCCATTCCTTATTATACAGTTTCACAAGGGGATGGGATTCTCCCTCCCCCCAAAAAAACCCCAATCATTCAAAACCTGATTCATTTTAATTCGATGCAATGTGCATTTTTAGGTGTCTGTTATGTGCCAGGAGAAAAGCATTGTCCAGTCAACGAGCATTTATTAAACACCCACTATATACCAGGCACTGTGCTAAAGGTTATTATTTTACAATATAGTGTGGTGATGATAAGGATTATAGTTGCCATTGATAAAGCCCATTATAAATCATATTTCATCCAATCCTCACAACAACACTGTAAGGTAGTTGCTATTATCATCTCCATCTGACAGATGAAGACACTAAGTCAAGGAGAAGTTAACTGACTTGTTCAGGGTCACACAGCTTATAAGTGTCTGAGGCAGAATTCAAACTCAGGCCCAGCATGCTACGGATGGTGTGCCATCTAGCTCTCCAGATGCAGAGTACACTGGTTAGAGAGCCTGCCTGGCAGTAAGGAAAACCTGGGTCCACATCCCATCTCTGGCTGTGTGACCTTGGGAAAGTTGTTTGATCAACTGAAAAACTCCTCAAAACAATTAACAACTTCAGCAAAGTTGCAGGATATAAAATAAAACCCTATAAATCCCTAGCATTTCGATATCATATGAACAAAACTCAGCAGGAAGAGATAGAAAAATTCCATTTAAAATACCTGCAGACAGCATAAAATACTTGAGTCTACCTACCAAGACACACATGCGGATTATATGGAATTGCAAAACACTTTTCACACAAATAAAGACAGATCTAAATAGCTGGTGAAATATACTCAATTGGGTATGGAAATCTATCTTATCCTACAGGAAAACAGGGTGGAAGGGGACAAGAGAGCAGGAGGATGATAGAGGGGAGGGCAGATTGGGGGAGGGGGAAATCAGAAGCAAACACTTCTGAGGAGGGACAGGGTCAAAAGAAAGAATAGAATAAATGGGGGGGCAGGATAGGATGAAGGGAAATAGAGTTAGTTTTTCACAACATGACTATTTTGGAAGTGTTTTGCATGACTACACATGTATATCCTGTATCGAGTTGCTTGCCTTTTCAATGAGAGAGGGGAGGGAGGAAAGGAGAAAATTTGGAACCCAAAGTTTTAAAACACATGTTAAAAAATTTTTTTTTCACATGCAACTGGTAAATAAGAAATACAGGAAATGGGATATAGAAATCTATCCTGCCCTACAGGAAAATAGAAGGGGAAGGGAATAAGAGAAGGGGGGAAGAGATAGAAGAGGGGACAGACTAGGGAAAGGGGTATTTAGAATGTGTGCCATCTTGGGGTGGGGGGAGGAATGAGACGGGGAGAAAATTTGGAACTCAAAATCCTGTGGAAGTAAATGTTGAAAACTAAAAATAAATAAATTTTAAAAAATAATTGGCGAAATATTAAGTATTCATCAGTAGGCCAAGCCAAGATAACAAAAATGACGATACAACTTGAATTTACTTAGCACCATATTGATCAAACTACCAAAAAATTATTTTATAGAACTTGGGGGGGGGGAATAACAAAATTTATTTGGAGGAACAAGAGGTAAAGAATATCAAGGAAATGAATGGAAATTTTAAAAAAGTGAAAGAAAGGGGCAGCTAGATGGTGCAGTGGATAGAGCACCAGCCCTGGAGTCAGGAAGACCTGTGTTCAAATCCAGCCTCAGACCAAACACTTGACGCTTACTAGCTGTGTGACCCTGAGCAAGTCACTTAACCTCAATTGCCTAAAAATAAAAAAAAAATTTTTAAAAATTTAAAAAGTGAAAGAAGGAATCTTTACTGGAATCAGATCTCAAATTATACTACCAAGTGGTATCATCAAAACAAGCTGGTACTGGATAAGAAATAGAGTAGCTGATCGATGGAATTAGGTATACAACATAGAGAAGTAAATGACCACAGGTTGATAAACCCAAAGATCCAAGCTTTGGGGGCAAGAACTCGCAGTTCAACAAAAACTGCTGGGAAAACTAGAATTCAGTCAGGGAGAAAGCAGATCTGGACCAATGTCTCACGTTGCGTGCCGAGATAAGCTCACAGTGGATCACAGCAGGATGGACACTTTTGATCGTGTGAAATTAAATTAAGGTTCTGCACAAACAAAACCAGTACAGCCAAAATTAGGAAGAAAGCGAGAAATGGGGAGAGGGACAGATTTCACAGCAAGTTTCTCTGATAAAGGGTTCATTTCTCAAATATGTAGAGAACTGAGCCGATGTCATGAATTTGAATTCATAACACTGAGGCAAGGCCAAAGGATGTGAACAGGCAGTTTTCAGAGGAAGAAATCAAAACTATCAACAGCCATATGAAAAATGATCTAAATAACTAGTAATTAGAGAAATGCAAATTAAGATGACCCTGAGGTAGCACCGCAGGCTCATCAGATTACTTAACACGATAGAAAAGGAAAATGAGAAGTGCAGGAGGGAATGTGGAAAAACAGGCTCATTAATGCACTGCTGATGCTAGAGGACGGTTTGGGACTATGGCCAAAGGGCTATCAAACAGCACCCCTCTTGAACTAGCGATACTGCTCTTGTTCTGTACCCCAAAGAGATAAAAGAAAAAGGGGACAGACCCAGATGTACAAATACACAGATACGCACATTGGCTCATTTTCTGGAAAAAGGTGCTTGAGCACTTCACATGTCTTTGAAAGCGACTGGATGAACTGCTGTGTCATTTGCACAAAGAGAGTGTTCGTATTGGTTGAGAGAAGTTGACCCACTCTATGTGTCATAGGTAAAATATTGAGCTTGCTGGGCATTAGGATTCGAGGATGGAGTGATTTAGTGGTGGAAGCCTCTGGCGAAACCCTGAGAAGGAGTCGAGGAGGAGGGGAGTGTAGGGGGAAGGAGAGTGTCTCAGCCTGGGTCTCCTCCCCTTACCACCACACTCCCTTGACCAGAGGAAGGCATTGCAAACTTTGAAGGGTCAGCAGATTTAGACTTTTTCACTGACACCCTAATATTGTCTCTGGGATAGCACTGGCTGATGGCAGTGCCTGAAAGAGATGAGCATAGACTGGAATGGACGAGAAAAGGCAGACTGGGAGGCCCCACAAGAAGGCCAGTAGAAAAAACACCCCAAACCTAAGGGGGGGGTGTCTCCCTGCATACCCCCACCCCCAGACGGGGTAGGAAAAAAAGGACTTCCTACAATCCAGCGCTGGGAGTTACCCCTTTGCTACATGGGGTCGGGGGACACAGACCCTGAGTTTGTACTACCTGTGTATCAGAGATGAGACCTGAACCCAGGTCTTCTGATAATCTGGTGGGCTAATGGCCTTTCCCTTGTATCACATAAGTTATTACTGATTACACCTCCTGTTCTACAAGTAGGCATACCCACGAACTTCCAGATCATTGGAACAGCCCAAAGCGCAGTGTTTTTAAATCCCGTATTTGTGAAGCACGGGTTAGATACACACTGCATAGTGCCGGTTTCAAACACACACACACACACACACACACACACACGCACACATGAAACACGGCTGTAAAGAATGGGATAAACTAGATCTGGATTGTAACCTCCAGCTCTCCATTTTCTAAAAGGTCGCATGTGGAAGAAAGCCATTGACTCATTTGCTGATTTCTTTATTTGTCGGTTTGAAAGGCACCCTTTTTAGAAGAATCAGGGTGTTGGGAGAGGCGGGCAGGAGCCCGCCACGGTCAAGCCCCGACTGCCCACCCGGCTGGGTTTCGCCCTAGCACAGCTTGCTCAGTTCTGTGATGGTGCAGCCAACCTGGCAGCAGAAAGTGACCAAATCAGCCACCTCGGTCTGCCTCTTCCGCTGCCTAGCGCCCCCTGGCTGCTGCTCCTGCGTGAGCATGTCATCGGCGGGGGAGCTGCTGTAGAGGAGGTCCGTGATGTCGTCGGAAGCTCCATTTTGGATTGGCGCCTCAAAGTGCTTTTTCCCTTCCTCTGTGTGAAAGTGAAAACAAACAAACAAGAAACACACATGGGACTACGTCAGAGGGAGGCGGAGTCGGGGCCGATCGGAGACATTTCCACATTCGGAAAGTGGGAAATTAACAACCGTCTTTGGACGGGCCTTCGCTGTTGAGTGTCTGGTCGGGACTCAGATTGATTTCAGGGGATAAAAAGACGGAACCAAAGGGGCACAGACCTAGAGCAGGAATGAACCGGAGGGACCACTGGGCCCCGGTCAAATCTCCTTTTTGTGCTGAGAGCTGGAAGTGCCTGCAGACACCAGCTGGTCCAGCCGCGCCCCCCCCCACACACACACTTTGCAGATGGAGATGGAGGTCCACGGTCAGAATTCCAGCCCGTGTTCTGGTACTCTAGCTCCAGAACTCATCTCCACCGTACCATTGACAAAAGCATTTATTACATGACAAAACTCAAAAAACTAAAAATTAGAATAAAAAATAGCAGTCCAGCCCCCAGAAATGGGTTGAAATGTGGAATTTGAATCTCTAAATTTAAAAAATAACACACATGCTTGTGAGTGTTATTTTTTAAAAAATAACAATTTTTCAAGTAAATTAGGCAGTGTAGCACATAGAGTGCTGGGCCTGGAGTGAGGAAGAGTTGAGTTCAAATCCTACCTCAGACACTTAGTAGCTGTGTTAGCCTGGCAAGTCATTTGACTTTAACTTAACTGGCAAGTCAGTCTCCTCATCTGAGAAATGGGGATAATAACACTCCTCCCCCTCCCCCCTAGGGTTGTGGTGAGGGTGGATGGGATCGTACTTGTAAAGCATGTTGCAAACCTTCAAGGGCTGTCTAGACTCCGGCTGTCATTATCCGGCTCTGCTTGAACCCCTCTTCCTGTAGTGGGGCTGGGCCCAGGCTCCCACTGCGAGCCCCTTCCCCTTTCAGGGTACCCTGCACCCACGAGGAGACTGAGGCCAGGACAGAAGGGACTTACCCAAGGTCATATGACTTATATGTGGCCATCCTGCCTTTGCCCAAAGACCTCTAAGGAGGGCGGCTGGGGGAGGGGAGGGGGGAACCGAGTCAAGCTATTAACATCAGGACAGCTCTTATTTTTAGGAAGTTTTCCTGACACCAAGACTAAATCTGCTTTTGCATCTTCCATCCCATTGTACTGGGCCTGCCTTCTGGGGCTTGGGCTGAGTTTGGCCTGCACGTCCATGTCAAACTAGGAAGGGAGTTAGGAGCCTTCATGTCCAACCCTCACACAGAAGGAACCCCCTGTTCTAACACACCCAACAAGCGGGCACCCAGACTCGAAGCACACGCACCACACTTCAAGGTGGCCCACCCCTCTCTGGGGCAGCTCCCCTTAGGAGGGAGCAAGCCCACATCGGCACTTCGGGACCTCCCCCCACCTCCCCCCAGGCTCTGCCTTCTGGGGCCGGGTAGAATGCTTTTCATCCCTCACCAGGTCTCCTTTTCTTCAGATATGCCCAATTCCTTCAACCTCACCTCATCTGGCATAGCCCCAAGGATCTCCACTTTCCTGTTTGCCCTCCTGGACAAGTTCCTAAGTGTAGTTTACTCTTGCCCAGCCTTGTCAGGCCATCTAAACCGCAGCAAACAAGAACGCCCCCTTCTCTTACCTCCGTCTTCAAGAGCCCCTTGAAGGTCCCTTTTCCAGCGAGAGCTGCCACAAGTGTAGACGATAGCCCTAATGAAATCTCGCCCACAAAACTTCACCGCCTCCCTGGTTTTCACTGCAGAGAGGGCCACCGTGGTTGACAAGAAGAAGAAAGCCCAGATGGCAACCTTCATGGTGCTGAGGAGCGAATGAGAACCCAACGGGAACCGGGAAGGGCAGCAGCAAGCAGTGGTGAGGGAATCCTGGTGCTCGAGGCTGATTTATACTGAAGGACCCATCCTGCCATTGGATGGATGCTCACCAAACAATGTTTGCTGAGCACACACTGGGTTGGGTTTTATGGCTCTAAGTTCGGGCCACCAGGAAATGCCACTCTTTCTTTAGTGATAACTACTTCCGATGAAGGTCTCCAGGGAGGATCTTGACCTACCACAGCCGGGGGGACTGGAGATCACAATCACTCCCGAATATGAAGTGATATGAATTAAATAAGAGACATTTTTACAAAGCATGTCAGGGGTCATTCTGCCTGCTTGGTACCTGAAAAGGGGCACGCCCCAACCCAAACACATGGAGAAAAAAAATAGAGAACCTAAAATCCAACCAACGAAAGTGCAAAAATAAGAGGGAAACCGAGGAAAAATCCAGCTTTCAGAGTGAGAAACTATGGCTCATTAAAAGCCAATATGGCAGCCCAGGTCTGGACTTCCCTCTAGGTTAGTTTTAAGCTCCCATTTAGTGTCCCCCGAAAGGGAGGAGTAGAAAGGCACTCTGTGGCCAGGCCTTTGCTTGTATCAATCAGTACTTGGTCTGGGTGGACGATGCGGTGAGCCCAGAGCTGAAAAGCAGGAGAGGGCACCGCAGTCCATTACAGGCAGCTGGGAGGTGCGGTGCATCGAGCACCGCCACATTAGGGTTTTCTACTCACGACCCCACGCTGCCAGTGTTGTTGTTATCATTACTACCCTTGCTGTTAGTATCTTCATTTTTATCTTTCTCCTTTACCCTTGGCATAGCCTACTTTCTAGAACTTTTTGTATACAAAGTAGATCTCACCTCAGCCACAATGGTTAGACTATCCTCAAAACCAGGGACTCATATAAAATGTGTTGTTTTACATTTTTGTACCCCCAGCTCCTGGCATACAGTAGATATGCATAGGGTGGATGCTAAGTTAAAATGGATTATATTCCTAGAGGTTCTGATTCTGTTTAAAAATCACAGGAATACTAGGTCTGCTGCATCTCTATTAGAATTTTGCAGACCTCTGGAGGAGGGGTTGAAATTCAGGGGCAGAAATTCTCAAAGACCATCCGCTAAGTTACGGAGGGACCACAGTCTGTGCCAGTGGAGATAGTATGTGCCCAAGTTCAAATATGTGACCCTAGGCAAGTTATGTAACCTCTGTTTGCCTCAGTTTCGGCAAATGGGGGAGGGGAATGCTGGTTACTATGGGGACTTGGACCAGTTGGCAGGGACCTTGGATAAGTCACAGTTTGTTTCCCTCTGCTCCATCTCGCCATATTCCTCCTCCAGTCTCTTTCAATCTGCAGCGGATGACCAAACCAAAGCCAGACGACAGCTATTCCATTGACAGCCTGTGGTGACACCAGTTCTTCCAGGTTTAGGTGTGGGAATGACAAGCTGGTCTTGGATTGTTTGGATTGTGGATAAGGGTCCAGAACTGTCCATTCACAAGGAGTAAGGGATGGAGCAGAGGGCTTGGAGTTGGGAAGATCTGAGTTCAAATTCATTTCTCAGACACTTTCTAGCTGTGTGACCTCAGGCTAGTCGCTTACCCCTTTCAGCCCCAGTTTTCACACCTGTGAAATGTGTGTAATGATAGCACTTTGACAGAGTTGTGGTGAGGATCGAGTGGGATAACTTATGTAGCCCTACATAAATGCTAATGATTATTATCATTAGTCAAAGTTTAAAAAAAAGAAGAAGAGTCGAGACTTGTCCTTTCAAGGAAGGAGGACCATGTAGCGTTTGGAAACGTACTACCTGGTGTAGTGGAAAGAAAGCTGGTCTCGGAATGAGGAAGACCTGGGCTCAGGTCCTCTTTCTGACATAGGCTGGCTGTATGACCTGGGGAATCACTCCCTTTCAGTAGGCAATTCTCCAAGACTAAGTTGTGGGGAAAGGGTTGGCCTACGCTGGAAGAAGGAGTTTCCTTACATGGGAGTTCCCTCCATTAATGAAGTCATGGGTCCAGACTCGATCCCAGGAGAACTGAGGAGGCCTCTTGGTTCAGTCCTGGAGGTGTCTAGGTCTGCCCAGTCCACTTGAATTCTAGGACCCCATGGCCATACTGCTCCAGAGGGGCCCTCCTTCCATTCCCCTCTTCCCACCAAAGCTTAGGGCTTGTCTCCCCAGTCACCACCCTTATTTATCGACAGCAGCCCAGTTTTTAGACTGACTGCCTCTGAGAAGACTCCCCACCAATCACAGTGCTTGTTTAAGGATGCCACAGCAAGGAAGCACAATCTACAGCCTTTTGGGAAACTGACGCCCATAGAATTTCTCCCGACGACTGATGCTCTCTTGGCCATGAGCAGCATGGGAAATGGAGTCCTAAAGACTTTTCCCTAACCCACGGCCACCACAGTATATACTTCTACCATCATGCCTTTAGGAGAGATGGGTCAGTACAATGTTCTTTAGGCCAGGGTGTTCCTTGGTGGGCAAAGTGATCGTAATTACTGAGAAATTTGAAGATCAGAACAATCACGTCTGTTAAAAATACAACAAAACTTCTCCAGACGAGGAAGGACCAAATGTATAAAACCTTTATTCATTCGTCAGGAGAGTCTTTCAAGACAAGACAACAAAGAATTGAGTCATTGCCTACACTGTTAAGAGATTTTTTAAATGCCTCATCCTAAGAAAGTTCAAAAGCTGCTTTTTAGGACTGGTCTGCTTGTTTAAGAGATGAGTCCAAAAGAATATAATAACACTAATAATTATTTGTGGTTGAGATAGCTAAGCACAATGGGTGAGAACAAGAGTTCTCAAGCTGCACTGAGTCTATGCCTAACGGAACCCAACATTTCAGAAGGAATTTACTGAATCACTGCTGTCCAGTCTTTTCATCTCCACTTGGCAAGTTGTTGTACGATTTTAAAAAAGGAAAGCCAAGGACTACCATGGACTAGCCATGTTGTGCTCAAATGGTATCCCTCTGAATCCCCCTCTGAATGAACCTAATATCACATGGGTTCTCTAGCTCAGTACTAGTTGTATCTGATTTCTTCTGGACCTCCCCCTCAGCACATCTCAGTCTGGACGCTCAAGCCCAGCATCAGCCTTTGGGCATGCTGGTGAGGGGATGCCCAGAGCCTTATCTGTGCCAGGTCTGTGAGGGAGCCTAACCCCAATCTGCTAGTCTGACATGTTCTGGAATAGCTTCCCCCAAGTACTAAGTGTGACCTGTAAGAAACTACTGTCATGTAGTCTAACCGAGAATGACAGCCTAACTGATTCAAGGAGAAAAACTCCCATCCCTGGTAAACAGAAGAATCAAGCGCCCAGACTATTTTTAAAGAATCAGAAAGAAACCTCATTCATAAGCACTTTGGAAAGCAATTGGAGTTTCATAAACACTAGATGAAGAATTATTCTTTATTCAGAGCCCTTAGGACTTTTTACTGTTAATACATACCAAAGTTTGGAATCAAAAAATAATTGTCAAGTTATGTTATTAAAGTCAGAGTATTTTTCTTATAATTTGGATTGCAGTTACACCAACTAAATGATAGGTAATTTCACTACCCACGGTTGAAGAGCTTCCATGGGAAAGCTGGAGAACTTCTGACCGTTTTATATAATCAGTTTAAATCACATATGAGATGTACCAACAACCCTTTCATTTGATTTATGCTTAAATTAATTACAAAGTAAAAACACACGTAATATTCTGTCTAAGGCAAAATCAAAGAGTCAATCTAAGGCACAGAAGATAGCTGCTATTTGATATAAAAAACCAGTCTACTTTCTCTTTATAAAAAGTATCAGCATCCACAAATTACTAAATACTATGTGCCTCAGGTCCAAGTAAAAGGTCAATGGCATCCTCCTAGAAAGAGAAAACAAAGCAAACAATTACAATGCTAGAAAAATCCAAGTGAACTCATTTCTAAAACCTCATTCACAGCCAATGGAGTAGTGACACATATACATACGTCAACCAATAAGAATGGAAAATGTCTACTACTCAAGGTGTTTTAAAAACAATTACGTTCACTTTCTATTATAAGCTAATTATATATATATATATATATATATATATATATATATATATATATATGTCAACTAATAAGAATGGAAAATGTCAACTAGTCAGAGTGGGGTTTTTTTAAAGAAAAAACAATTATGTTCACTGTCTATTATAAGCTAATTCTTTCCTATAAATGTTCCTTTTAATAAAGCTCGATAAATAATTTTGCAAGAATTTCCCTGTGTGTGCAATTCGGTGTTGATGCCCTTGAGCAAGTCATAACCTTCTCTAGGCTTTAGTTTCTTAATTTACAAAATGGTGGGAGGAGGAGGAGGAGTAAATAAACTATCCCTGGTAAATAGAAGAATCAAATGCCCAGACCATCTTTAAAGAATCAGAAAGAAACCTCATTCATAAGCACTTTGGAAAGCAATCGGAGTTTCATAAATGCTAGATGAAGAATTATTCTTCACGCGTACAAGATCCTTTCCGCCTCTAAAACTCTATGATTTTACTAGTTGACAAGAAATTATTCTGGGGCGCCAAATTCTTAGACAAATTAAATAATTTTATATAAGTTTAATTATGTTAAATACTATTTACCGATTCCAACGCCCTCCCCAGCTATTAGCACCTTGCCTCCCCACATCGTCTCATACGTAATATGTATAAATATAGTTTTATATACTTGTATGTGAATACACTGAGAGAGTAAGCTGCTTGAAGGTGGAGAGTATTTCATTTTTGTCTTTTTATCCCTAATGCCTCTGCACAGTGCTTAGCATGTAGTAACCACTTAATAATTGCTTGACTGGGGAAAAAATGCTATTATATTATCAGAGGCAGCTAAGTGGTAGAGTGGATAGAGAGCTGGTCAGAAAAGCTCTCTATCAGGGGTAGAGGAAGGTCAGGGGTCAGAAAGACTTGTCTTCCTGAGTTCAAATCCAGCCTCAGACACTTACTAGCTGTGTGACCCTGGGCAAGTCACTTAACTTCTGTTTGCCTCAGTCTCCTTATCTGTAAAATGAGCTGGAGAAGGAAACAACAAACCACTCCAGTATCTTTGCCAAAAAAATCCCAAAAGGGGTCACAAAGAGTCAGGCACAACTGAAAAATGACTGAACAACAAAATTATATTATAAGCTATGAAAACCCTAACTGAATGAGGCAATTACAATTCTTCTTACAATGGATGAGAATAAGGTGCTAATACTATATTCCCCAGATTAAATTCTGGTATTAAAGTCAGCCATCAAGTCAAAGGAGGTATTTTTGAAACTTATCTACTTCTCATGAAGTTATAATTCAGCAACATGAAGTTCTTTGGATCAGGCACTTTTGTAATCCAAAATAACTCATTTTTAAAAGGCCTACGTAAGATGTGAGCCATCTTATGTACTCGAATTCCCACGTGTTACTTCAAATTTGCTCATAAGGAAAAAAAAGGTTTGTTTGTTATAATATCATCTACAATAAAACAATAAAAACATTTTATTTTGGCTTTTATTACAGATGGCTTTTAGTAGAAATATAAAAATCAGAGCATTTAAAAAACTGTGAAACCAAAAGAAATTTGAAAAAATGATTTTGCCCCACTAATCCCAAATGATAATATCTAACTAAAAATAGTGTTTGAGGAAATCATTTACTTTTGAAATCTTGGCAATATACAAGGGGATTTTTGAAAGTCTTTAATGAAAGAATGTTGTTATTCAGTCCTTTAAGTGGTGTCCCACTCTTTGTGACCCCATTTGGGGTGTTTTTTTGGCAAAGATACTGAAGTGGTTTGACATTTCCTTCTCCAGCTCTTTTTACAGATGAGGAAACTGAGGCAAACAGGGTTAAGTGACTTGCCCAGGGTCACAACACTAGTAAGTGTCATTTGAACTCAAGTCTTCCTAACTCAAGGCCCACACTCTATCTACTGTACCACCTAGCCACCCCTAATAAGAGTACAGAATAAAGCTAATAGAATAAGGATCCTTCCCCTCTGGTTGGACAATGGTAATGAGAAAGCTGAAGCCCAAAGGGACAATTATCAACCTTGCCAAATTATTATCTGTAAAACCTGTGAATGAGTCGTGATGTGCCCCTAGAGAATGGGTATTTCCTCAATAGATGGAGAAACAGGAGGGAAAGGAAAGAGCTTTGGAGAACTCGGGGATTTCTGCTGAGAATCTTAAATCATCAATTATATATATATGTTTTCTGATTCTGCATCATACCCGGCCACTCTCTGTGTGAATCGGCATGTTCTTCAATTCATACACGATAACTTGTCCTTCACTATCACCAATTAAAATACAATCAGTATTTTTAGCAAAAAGGACGGTTGTAAATTTCACTCCTGGGTTAGCTATATTCACAACGATAGGGTCCAAACTGTAATTTAAAAAAAGCATTAATTTAATTAAATTAAATGCTCACAGCAACATGCATTTACTCACACTGTCCCCTATCCCTGGAATACCTTCCTCTTGGTATTCTGCCTTCACACTTTCATCTTCACCTAGACCCATTCTTCAGTGCCCTGCTAAAATTCCCTCCTCTTCATTAATCCTTGTTTCTGATGTTCCTGTCTCGAAGTGACTCCTTCCTCATCTCGTTTTACAGTTCTTTATACTCATTATGCATACATATTAAAATTCATGTTCTATTTATCAATGGACATGCTTTTTTCCCTCCTACAAAATGGTAAGATTCTTTAGGGCAGAGACGATGCCTTCTCCAAGTAGCCTTTATAATGCCCTGCACAGAGCTGGACAAGTTACTGGAATGAAGAAAATATTTCTTCTGATATATCGATTCAGAATAGAACTCTTTTCCACAATTCAGTGGTATCCATGCCAAAGGCCCCAAAGTGAGTCAAGTCTGTGTTTGCTGCCCTGTCATTACACCTGCCATTTTATTCCTCTATAAGCTCCTGGCATGCTCCTCTTTCCCATCTCTCCATGATCTTTAGTCTGTCCAAAAGCCCCCTGGCAGTGCTTCACTTAAATCTACCCTCCCTCAAGAATCCCAAGCTTCAAAATGATCCACCCTCCTCCAAAGTAAAGCAAAGTGGCTGTTTTCTCAGTGTAGTAGCTGGATTACACTACCTCTGGAAAAACCATAGCTTCGACTACATGGACCTCGGTTGGCAAGGTGAGGTCTCTGCTTCACAGTAAGCTGTCCAGATTTGCCATAGCTTTCCTTCCAACCATCTGCAGTGATCTTTGAGCCCAAGAATATAAAATCTGACACTGCTTCCATTTCTTCTCCCTGTATTTGCCAGGAAGTGATGGGTCCGGTTGCCAAGATCTCAGTTTTTGTGAGGTTAAGCTTCAAGCCAGCTTTTACACTCTCCTCTTTCACTCTCATCAAGAGGCTTCTTAATTCCTCTTCACTTTTTGCCATAGAGTGGCATCATCTGCGTATCTGAGATTGTTGATATTTTGCCCAGCAACCTTAATTCCAGCTTTTGATTCATCCAGCCTGGAATTTCACATGAAGTACTCTGCATATAAGTTGAATAAATAAGGTGACAATATACAGCCTTGCCACACTCCTTTTCTAGTCTTAAACCAATCAAGTGTTCCATGTTCAGTTCCAACTGTTGTTTCTTGGCCTGCACACAGGTTCCTCAGGAGACAGGTAACATGATCTAGTCCTCCCATCTCTTTGAAGATTTGACACATTTTGTTGTGACCCACAGAGTCAAAGGCTTTGATGTACTCAAAAAAACAGAAATCGATTTTTTTTTTTTTGGAAACTCCCTTGCTTTCTTTATCATACAACAAATACTGGAAATTTGGTCTCTAGTTCCTCTGCCTCTTTGAAAACCAGCCTGCTCTTCTGGTGATGGTGGGTTCCCGTATTGCTGAAGCCTAGCTTGCAGAATTTTGAGCACAGCCTCGCTGGCACGTGAAACGAGTGCAATTGTTCCATCCTTTGAACGCTGCCTGGCGTCGCCCTTCTTGAGGACGGGGACATAAAGTGATCTCTTCTAAACCAGCGGGCACCGCTGAGTTTTCCAAATGTGCAGCACTTTAACAGCATCTCCTCTTAGGATGTAAATAGCTCAGCTGGAATTCCATCAGCTCTAAAGGCCTTATTGTTAGCAATGTTTCCTAAGGCCCCCTTGACTTCATTCTCTAGGATGACCGGGTCTAGATAACCACATCATCATGGTCATTGGTGATGTTAAGATCTTTCTTGGGCTCTGATGACCACATCATCACGGTCATTGGTGACGTTAAGATCTTTCTTGGGTTCTGATGACCACATCATCACGGTCATTGGTGACGTTAAGATCTTTCTTGGGTTCTGATGACCACATCATCACGGTCGTTGGTGACGTTAAGATCTTTCTTGGGTTCTGATGACCACATCATCACGGTCGTTGGTGACGTTAAGATCTTTCTTGGGTTCTGATGACCACATCATCACGGTCGTTGGTGGTGTTAAGATCTTTCTTGGGTTCTGATGGCCACATCATCACGGTCATTGGTAATGTTAAGATCTTTTTTTGGGTAGTTCTTTTGTGTATTCTTGCCCTCCACTCTCTACACATACTCAGAACTTGGCTTCAAAGGTAATGGTCCTATAGCTCAAATACAAAGCCTTCTCATTAAGAAAACTGTTACATGGTCCTAGAGAATTCTATTAGTACTGAAAATATCCTCAAATCAAGAGAAACACAGTTACTTACATACTGCAGTGGAGGTCCCAGATCTCTACTCTATGCTCATTTGCTGCTGCAAAAATGTAGGATGACTTTGGAGACCAGGCAATATCATAAATCACATGAGTAGTCGTATAAAAACTCAAATATGGCTTAAAGTCGTCCTGTTGCCAGAGATTCACACCCCAGTCTGCAGAGCAGCTTAGGAACACTTCATAGCAAAATGGGTTCCATGCTATCCTGTACACAGGACCCTAGAAATTAAACAAATACAGTCCAATACCAATACAAACAGTTCCCAACTTATACAAGCCCCTGCAAATGGCATCTAGGAAGAACTACTGGCCGCAGCAATGGAAGAAGAGAGGGAAGGAAGGAAAGGAAAGGAAAGAAGGGAGGAAGGAAGAGAAGAAGGGAGAGAGGGTAGAGAAAGGAGAGAGAGAGAGAGAGAGAGAGAGAGAGAGAGAGAGAGAGAGAGAGAGAGACGGACAGACATAGAGAGAAAGAGATGGACAGAGAGACATAGAGAGAGAGAGATGGACAGAGAGACAGAGACAGAGAGAGAGAGAGACAGAGAGAAAGAGAGAGAGAGAGAGAGAGACAGAGAGAGAGAGAGAGACAGAGAGAGAGAGAGAGAGACAGAGAGAGAGAGAGAGAGAGAGAGAGAGAGAGAGAGAGAATCAAGCCCAGAGAATACAAGTACCGTGCCAAACAATAGGCTTCTCTCCCTCCCACTGCTTCCTGGGTAAAACGTCCTTTATCTCCCTCCCACCAAGCTTCCCCTCCATCAGCTGCTCTCCAGGTAGTCCCTTGCTCTTGATGGACTCCCTGCTAACAGTCATTTGGCCACAAAGGAACTAGTGATTTTGATGCATATAGCCAGAGGAGTGTGGGGAGCAGGTTTTCTGAACCAAAAAAGCCTCAGAAGGTGACATAAAAGCCTTGTCAAAGCATACTTTCCTTTCTTAAACAAGGATTGTTTGAGGATGATGGTTACCGTATCATCAAGGGCTAGGAATGGGGGCAGGGAGGGGATTGTCTGGAGAGACTAAAGGCAGAGTAAAGGCCCAGACACATATGTAGGAATCCTCTTGTGACTGAACTGGAGAAGAAACAACAGAAAAGTCATGCCTGGTCACTGCCCTCCCTCCAGTGGAACAGCATCCTACTGTTTGACCACAGGCCTGGCAGGCGATGGACACACTGGGCATGTCTCCATCCCCACCCCTGAACCTCCTAGCACAGGGCTAGAAAGAAGCAAGGAAATCATAGAGGAAAGTGTGAGAAGGCTAGCACAGGAATAAAATCAGAAGCAAAGGAGTAAAAATAGATTACGGCATTTCTCAACTCTTAAGGGAGTAAAGAAGAAACATCTGCAGATACACACAAGAGGGAAGCAAGAGATCAGTGTGTCTCAGTAGACTTTCTGTTGGGTAGCAAGGTCACTCCCACACCCTTCTCACCCTCCATGCCAGCTCACAAAAGTGCCTTCCAGCAGAGTGTCCTGGGGAAGTCCACTTGCCCTGTACTGTGGCCATTCACTTGGACGAAGGGAGACGCAGCACGCTTATCCCATCTGCAGACGGCACGTGGACTATTCAGCAAGACCTCAAAGGACTGGAATGCTGGGCTCAGTTCTAACAAGCCAACTTCAGAGTCTTGCCCGGCACTCTTTTGCCTCCCCAGATTTGGGTCGTGTTATTCCTTGTTCTTTGTGTACTCTCTTCTGCAGACAAACTGGCCACTGCCCTGACCCTTCAAGACTTCCTGAATTTCCAAGGCTCTGGGTTTTTCTTATGTCTTACAGGCTGCCCTTTTCCTTGAATCTGTACTCAACCAACTGGAATGGCCAATTGGAATGCTACCCCTTCCCTGCAGGCTACAAGGATCCTCTGCCCAGTGGGCATCAATCGTTTCTCGCAGGCCTTCCAATGCACTTAGATCTGTAACTTGATGACGCTGCTATCACAAAATAGGATGCATCATCGTTAGACGTTTGCATCTTATCTTTCTTAACAGATGAGACCACGTCTTATCTCCACTTTGAATTTCCTCTACTGTCTGGCACACAGGAAGCACTTAACAAATGTTAGTCCTTACTGTCTTAAAATGTTTCTAATGTTCATGGAAGGGCAGGCTGATTCTGCTGGAGTATATAAGAGCCTTAAAAACAGCCCTTCCCACCATGTTGGTGCCTAATAGTGGAACGGCCAGTGGCAGTCAAGATGGGAAATCTCATCTGCTTCTCCACCCTTAGAGACCTCCCATTGCGTAGAAGAGGTTCTCATCTGTTCTTCTACCAAGAGCTCCTGTCCCCAGCCCAGGTTCCAGATGCCCAGGGGAGCTTACATCTGGTTTTCTTCTGAAATGAGGAGGACGCATCCTTCAGTCTTTTGCGTGCACCAACCTGCCATTGGCATCCAAATGTAATACTATCTCTCCCTACAGGGTCTAAGTTAAGAAAAATGATGTCCATAAAAGTATATGCAGAGATATAAGGAGATCTTAGCGGGGTGGGGAGATTTTAGAAGAGACGAAGTTTGAACCTAAAGAGAAAAGCTGAAAAAGTTGTGCTCATGCCTCCTGGATGGCCAAGAGCTCTGGTCCTCCCTACCAAAGCAAGGCTGTTATATCCAGGAACTAATATCTTAAGGAAACACATTCCTGGGTCTGGATGCAGTTAAATGCACACAGCTGAGAGCAACCCTAGAAAGAGATCTGAAGAGGGGAGAGGAGAAATACAAGAGTCCTAAACAGAGCACATTGTGGGGAGAGCCCCCAGTGCTGTGATTTGCCCCAGCGCTGGTCTGCGTCCTGCTGGGAGCGACGCAGACCTGAGCTTCCTGGCTTTTGCCCTGCCTGATGCTTGAGGGCTTGTCATGGGGATGGGCATGCTGGGCGTACTGATGCCAAACTAATCTGCTTTATTGTGGCATATGCTCTCAGAAGAGACTTTAAGTATAATTCACACAGATAAGGGACAGATGGCAGCAGCTGTGAGATGGGGGCATATAAGCCTTGAGATTCCACTGAGGGATACAGACACACCTTCTAGAATGATGTGAAAACTGACCACAACCCAAGAAGAGGCAGAACCAAAGGGTACTCCGAGCCAACCAGAGGGTGCCTGGGAGAGGTATCTTGTCAAGCTTGGTAAGGGGCACACAGCCCACCCAGCTGTGAGGATGAGCTAGGAGCATCTACCAAATCAGAAGAATGAGATACACGGATTGTCACCCATCTCTCTTAGGTTTATAATTGTACTCTTTCTTAAGTACCCTGCCCCTACTTTCCCAAGCCAACACTCTCTGGGCCACTGGTATACTCCTGGGTCACCATCCTCCCATGATCAGAGGGGTTATTAGTATCCCAGTTTTTACAGAAGAAACTGAGGTAGAGCTTAAGTAACCAGACCACAGTCGCAGCTAGTAAATGTCTGAGGCTAGATTTGAACTCAGGTCTCCCTAACTCCAGGCCCAGCTCTCTGTCCACTATACCACTTATCTCTCAGCTAGACACAACCCTTCTGCTTTCAGCTCACCATACGGACACAAGCAGTGATTCACAGACAAAGTGAGGTACCAGGTATCTACCTAGAAAGGAGGTTCACCTACAGGGCAATGGAGAGGAGCATGGTGGGCTTGAGCAAACCGGACCTCATCACCGAGAAGGAAGGACACAAGAGATGTGGAATAAAGGATGTCATCAGAGGAATGGGTGACCAGGAAAGAAGATGGGGCATCCAGGTGGCAAGAGCAAGAACAGTCCGTGCACTCCGCTGGCCACCATGCAACGCCAAGATTGCTAAAGAAGAGTGCTGGGTGGAGCCCCCGGTGCAGATTTCCAGGGGCGCGAGGTCTCCAAGTGCCTTCCAACATGAATCAAGATCTGCACTGTTGATGGGCATGCTATGATGAGGAGATCACAGAACATCTAGAATACCAGGGAGAAAAAGCAACCAGTGAGACCCAGGAGCTCAAAGGGAGGCTAGCCAGGAGTTGGCCTTGGCCCAGGCCCTAAAGCCATCCCCCAAAGAAAGAAATTTTCTTTCAGGGTATGTTAGTGGGACAGGCTCCAAATAAGGAGGCTTCCTTTCAGGTAGTTAATTAGACATCTCTACCATTTTTACACTGATATAATTTAACTCACCTTGTGACCTTTGTAGGTATCCAGGTACTGTTCATTATATGAACAAGAGCATTTATGAATGTGACCTTCTTCTGTACCAGCCAGATAGATATTTGTGTCCTAAAATGAAAGAATAAAACAGATCCAACAGTGGCACATTATCCTTGACCCCTGACCATTACAACCTAAGCTAAAAGAAGGCTACACTAAGTAGGCTGCATATTAAAATCTGCCAGAGATTTCTAATTCATCTATTCTTTTTTTTTTCTTTTTGCTTTTTGGTGAGGCAATCAGAGTTAAGTGACTTGCCCAAGGTCACCCAGTTCTTCAAGGAGTTATGAGGGTAGCTACTTTCTTGATCAATGGAAGTTGACCCTAACCCCTCTCTAACTTAGGAGCTGGTCTCTGAAAATTGCTATGTATAGCCTCCAAATTCACCAACCTTTCATTCAAATGTCAATGAATCTCTCTGAACTTGGCAAAGCTTTAGTAAAATTCAATTCAATAAACATTTCTCAAATGCCTCACCAGTGACAGGCACTGGTAATACAATGACAAGATGGACACATCTTGTCCCTCAAGAAGCTTACCTTATTGTGTCCTTTGACAAGAGACAGGCCTCAAAGCCTTTGTGGCTCAGGAGGACCTTGTCTTCCTCTAACCTAACCTTCAAGAACCCAGAGTTGTGTTTCATGTTGCTTGACTATGCAGATTTGTCAAAAGGGTTGTTGTTTTTCTTTTCCAATGGGGGTGGGGGGCAGGAATAAGTGGGAGGGAGAGAAAATAAATACTAAATATTAAAAAATATGTTTGATAATCCAGGGTCATCATTATACCATGATGAGGCTTCAGAGTAGAACTTTAATAGAAGAAACTAAAAATACTGTTGAAAACATTTTCTATTCAATCAACTTTATCATTAAAAGAAAAAGCACTTATCCATATTGGCATCAATGACCACTCCTCAATACCTAGCCTCTAGTCTCTTCTCATACTTGTGATTACACATTCAGTGGGTCTGGTTTTTTACACAGGTGGGGCCATTGTGAACATGGTGCTTTGAGGGTTATTTTTCCACATATATCACATCCTAAACATTTTTCTATATTCCTAGGGAAGTCTTCATCTTTATCATTACATAAGGCAATATATTATTCAACTTGAAAGCCTGCATTCCCTCTAGCCATTCCTAATCACTGGACACATCATTTGTTTAGAGTTCCCTGCTCATGTCTATAGCACAATTATAAGCATCTGGGTGAGGAGGGTTCACTTTCTGCTTCTTCTGAATGATTTCCTGGCGCTCCATCCCTAAGAGAGGCATTAACTGGTTAAAAGACATGGCGGCTTCTCTGGCTCCAGCTGCATGTGACCCACTATAAAAAGTGTTCATGTGGAAGCTAGAAACCACAGCTTAAAAAAGTGAAAGGCTCGGATCCGAGATGGGGCGTGTGGAGTATGAACCCGGATTATAGATCTCTAAGGCCAGAGCAAAAAGAGAGCGAGTAGGCACATTTCTGCTAATCCACATCAGGTCTGAATCAGTGGTAGAGAAAAATTAAAGGAGTCCAGTCTTCCCTAGGTAACACTGATATCCCTATTAAAGCAACTCTTGCTTTCCTAGGTATTGATGGATACAGCACAATGCACTCAAGTGTGGCTACCCAGAGGACAGCAGTAAAGTTTTAATATAGCGGCCTATCCTTAAATAGACAGGCGTCTGTGTAGGGTAAATATTTGCTCTTGGTGAACAGGCCTGGATGCAAATAAAAGTTAGAAGTGGTCCATCCAGTGTGGGTGGGTATTGCGGACACTGCCTTGATTTTTCTTAATAATTCCAATGATACACACACACATTCTGAAATCCCCAAATGTAACATATCATAAGATCATGCTTAATTGAATTAAAAAGATAAGACACAAAATACATGCAACTTAGATTGCTGATTTTCCAATGAGAATATTCCCTTCTTAGAAAAAGCATACATTAAATATATAGAGAATTAAGACACATTTATAGGAACACAAGCCATTCCCCAACTGATAAATGGTCAAAGGATATGAACAGACAGTTCTCAGATGAAGAAATGAAAGCCATCTATAGTCATATGAAAAAATGCTCTAAATCGTTATTGATTAGAGAAATGCAAATCAAAACAACTCTGAGGTACCACATCACACCTATCAGATTGGCCAACATGACAAAACAGGAAAATGATAAATGTTGGAGAGGATGTGGGAAAATTGGAACGCTAACACATTGTTGGTGGAGTTGTGAAATGATCCAACCATTTTGGAGAACGATTTGGAACTATGCCCAAAGGGCTACAAAAATGTGCATACCCTTTGATCCAGCAATAGCCCTTCTAGGGCTACATCCCAAAGAGATCAAACAAATGGGAAAAGGACCCACATGTACAAAAATATTCATAGCAGCTCTTTTTGTGGTGGCAAAGAATTGGAAATTGAAAGGATGCCCATCCATTGGGGAATGGCTGAGCAAGTTGTGGTGTATGAATGTAATGGAATACTATTGTACTATAAGAAATGATGAACAGGCTGACTTCAGAAAAACCTGGGAAGACTGGTCTGATGCTGAGTGAAGTGAGCAGAACCAAGAGGACTTTGTACACAATAGCAGCCACGTTATGCAATGACTAAGATTGTTAAACTGAACCCTTCTCAGCATTATGAGGATCTAAGACATCTCCAGAGGCCTCAGGATGGAAAATGCTGTCCACATCCAAAGAAAGAACTATGGAAGTCGAATCGCTCTCACTTATTTTTACCTTCTGTTGAGTTTTGTTTCATCTTTCTGATGGCTCCTCCTATTGGTTCTAATTTTTACTTACAACTTCACTAATGTGAAAATATGTTTAATGGGTATGTAAATGTAAAGCCTATATCAGATTGTGTGAAGTCTTGGGGAGGGTGGGGGGGAGAAAAAGGGAGAAAAATTTTCAACTCAAAAGCATATGGAAAAAAAAATTTTAAAAAGATCCTTTTGTAGCATGAAAAAAAAAAAAAGCATACATTGCAGATACTGAGTTTTCCCTGATTCCAAAAATACTTTTTCAGGACTTCAGAAAATCTGTGATTTCATCAGAGTAGGTAACTCCTCCACACTTTGGAAAACAATTTCTTGAGTTGCTGTGACCAACGCTGGTCATCTGATAACTTGACTCCATTAGACTCACCCTCTACCACATACTGACTGTGTGACCTTTGACAAGTCACCTAAACCTCTTGGTGCTCTGGGCATCCTTCTAAGACTAGGAGAATGGGATCATTATAAGGATCACAGGTCAAGAGTTAGAAGGACCTCAAGATCATCTAGCCCAACTTCTTTATTTTACAAATAAGCCAACTGAGGCCCAAGGAGATGAATTAACTTGCTCAAGGTGAGAGAGCCAGGATTACTGAAGATGAGTTGGGGGAAAAGAAGCCCATCTTCATTGAGCCTATCTTCAGAGCGGGGTGCAGTGGCATTCATAATCTACTCCCTGGACTTGTCTCTGGCCTATACTCCCCACGAATTCAGAAAGTTATCCTGATTTTTGTAGTCTTCAACTTTGGCTAAAGTCTAGCCAATTACTATGGTATCGTTTTGTTGGTACTAAGCATGGTAGCACTGTTAGGGGCTGCAGACACCAGTACAAGAGAGCCAAAGAAGGAGATTATGGAGCCTTTACTTTACTACTCAGGCACAAACACAGTTTCCCCACTACAAAGAGAAAGAGAAGAAGAGGAGCATACCTGGGTCCCTGGGCACTCCATCCACCTGAGTCTGGTAAATGAGTTTGTTAATTATGAAGCCAAAATAGTCATTGACAGATAGATTCATTCTTCAAATAATTTCATATTTAACCACTAATTTGTATAAAAACAGATTGAGGAATCCTACCCTGGGGTGAAAAGCAAAACACATTCCGGGAGCCTGCCGAGATATCAAAGCTTCGCTTTTCTTCTCTCTCTCATTTTCCTTTTTCTGCTTGTCCATTGATGTTCTCTTCAGTTTCATCAAATCTTTATTTAAAAAAAAAATGTAATGAAGAAAGTAGATGCAAAAGAACAATACACATGCTCATGACTATACAAATGAAGATTAACAACAACATGAAAATTTGCAACAAAATTCAGGTTGAAGATGATGGACAAATGCTAGCATGATCTTGGGTTGAATTAAGAGGAACATATTTCCACTACGCTTTGCCCTTGTCAGACCTCATCTGGACTACTGTGTTCAGTTATGGACAATATGGCTTAATGATAAACTGGAGAACATTCAGAGGTGGTAACCAGAATGGTAAAGGGTCCATAACATAAGAGGATCTATTGAAGAAACTGGGTACATGAAGCTTAAAGAAAAGACTTAAGCAGGACATGAGAACCATCCAAGTATTTGAAGGGCTGACATGGGCACAGAGAGCAGAATCAGGAGCTGAGTGGACATTTCATAGGACTTATTTTAGACCCAACAATCTGAGCTGTTGAATGGGCTGTCTGTGGAGGTGGTGGGCTTCCCCTTCTTTGGAGGGCTTCAAGCAAAGGACAAATGACTGACTCATCAGACGTGTTATAGTGAGGATCCATTTTGTACATGGGTTGGCCCATGTACAAATCTGAAGTCTCTTCCAGGGCCTGCAACAATTCTGGGAATACTCTGTTCACACAGACACACCCCTCTCCTGTTCTTTTCAATCACTCAACCAATAAGTGACCAAAAAGTGCTCCGTTCCACATGCTGAAAGTCATAAACACCGTTCTGCGTGGTTGCTTAGCTTAGTTTCCAGGAAGTATGCTTGGTGGTTTGTGTGTTTATGTTTATAATGTGTCACAATCCATCAATAAAAATGTAAAAAAATAACAGAAAAATGGCAGTTACTATGTCAAGGACCAAAATATCCTGCCTATGCTTAGGACACACTAACGTACAATTCTCCTTTTTAACAAGCGGCTAAGTTTTAAATGACACTAATAAGTTTCGGTGAACCACATCTGGGTGCTTTATAAAAGAGACCTCAGCGCCAATTGCAGTCATTTCAAGCTCAGTTTACAGACTAGTAATTTTGAGCTTAGTCTACATAAAAACAATAAAATTCCTTTTACCGTGACAAATCAGTCCTTTCTGTATGACCCACTTGGAGATTCTTCCATCAGCCCCAACAGTAACGAGTATTTCCCTTTTTTCTTCACCTGCCGTTCCTCGGTCCTGCTCTACCCATTGGACTTGCCAAATTGGCCCGATGTGCTTCTGATGAAATTCACTAAAAGAAAAGAATAGAGCAAATGTAAGATGTCTATAGCTGTAACAAGTTACCCAGAGGGCAAGTGGTCTAGAGAATAATGTCCCACTTAAATTATAAAATGACATGTTAATAGAAAAATATTGTGAAGATTAGGAGCAGTGATTACTTTGTAACATCCATCCTAGTTCATATTTCTCTACTTTCTTTAACTTCTATTTTGGATATGGACGTAATTCAGGGAGCCATGATTTTATCAGGGACAATGGGGCAAGAGGTCTCCTTCTACCAAGGCAGATTGCAACCCTTCCTTAGTAGGTCTTCATGGGTTACCATGGCCATTTTTAAAGAAATCATCACCTGGCCACTGGTTTGGAGAGGTGAGACGCCTCTCTGAATTTAATTAATTGACTTAATCTCCCCCTAAAAGATCACTCCACTCCTGAGGTCCCTTACTCTAATGGCCCAATTCTTCCTAGACCATTCCTTTTAAAGAAAGTGACCCAGTCAGCCATGCTCACACCTTCATGCCTCTCTGAGCTCTGCTTCTGACTCTCCAGCCTTTTCCTCTCCCATTCCCTGCTCCTCTCCCTCTTCTCCCTCCCCTTTTAGTTCCCTTTTCTGTTGTGTTACCCACTAGAACATAAGCACCTTGAAGGCAGGGGTTGTCTTTCTTGTTTGCTTCTATTTGCATTTCCAGCTGTTAGCAAAACGCCTGGCACCTTGTTGTTTGTCCTTCCTTCTGGAAGAGCACCAATGACATCAACAAGGAGATGATTTTTTTTTTGACCAGGTAAAAGAGGCCATTCTTTGCCTTATTTCTTACCTAGCCTTAATCATTGAATGGGCATTGCCTCAGTCAAATAGACCTGGGAAAGACCTTAGCTTAAGAAGGCCAAGGTCTCCCATTGCGTCTGGGGCCATCTCCAGTCATCCTGATTCATTGCCACTGGACCCAGATGGCTCTGGAGGAGAGAGTGAGGCTGGTGACTTGGCACAGCCCTGCCTCACTCAAATCCAATTCACTTGGAAGTCATGACATCTCCTTCCTGATGTCATTGGTCCTCTTCCACAGGTGTGGTGATCCCTAGTTATCATGGCATTACAGTATTAAGCAATACCTTTAATCACGGAAGCTAAGTGAGAAGTCACTGCCCATTCATTACTAGCAGGACAAAAAAACTGTTCTTCATTCAGTAAGTCTTATGTGCCATGCAGGGTCCAGAACCATGTAGGGTCTAATGAACTTCCTAGATATGTGGTGGACCAGGGTAAAGCCCTGGAAGACCTCTGCATCTTGAGACCGAGGCCAGGACTTCCCGGATGACCTTACAAGCACTTCTTTCCCAGGATAGGGGGTGCATGAATTTCTTGATTTCTAAAGAGGAAGAAGCTGAGGTTTAGGCCTGAATGACCCACCCATTTCTCCCACTTGTATCAAAGATCATAACCCGAGGACTAGAGCCTGACACATAATAAATGCTAAATCACCTCCAGGTCATGATAAGTCATCGCAGAAGAGCTTTCCAGAAGGTGAAATTCAATTGGTCACCATCACGTGTTTAAAATAAACTTAATAACTTTCCACAAAAGCAATCAAACAATTGTACAAAACAAGGGATGAAATTCTACCTCGCCCTGCCCCAGGCTCTAACCAGGTAAAATCAAAAGAATCAACAAATAAGAAAAGAAGATGCTTTCTGTCACTTTCCAGAAATTCTCTCAAATTTGGCTGGTTTCTTCCCTTTTTTTTTTCTTTTTCAATCTGGTGCTGCCGACTTTTCCGTCTGCCTTACCATGCCATGATCGAGTCTGCCATCTTCCGAGGGTGAAATGCAGACCTTGTTTCCAGTGTTTTACTCTTGCAAATAGAATGGCTGGAAACATCTGTGTTCAGATAGGGGCTTTTGGTCTTCATGTGTTTGTAGAAGAGTCCTCACAACAGAATTGCTGATTCAAAATGTATGATTGGTTTTATCACTCTTGCTGAATATCACATGTGATTCTCAGAAATGTTTATACCAGTCTGTCATGCTATTAACAATATTACTATGACTGCTTCCATCCACTCACAGTGGATTTTGTCTTTTTTTAATAAATATTTTTCCATTCTAGTAAGTGAACATGGTGCCTTTTTTAATCATATTTTATTTTTTTTCAATCATCAAACATCTGCCTTCTCTCCCTCCACCTCCCTGCCTTCTTCCCTGCCACACAAATCGAGAGCCAAAGTAAAATAAAGCCTATTAACAAACACGCATAGTGGAGCAAAACACATTTCCACATTGGCCATGTCCAAAAATACACACATACACATACTATGTATATATGTTTAGTATGCATGTTTATCTTTACAATATTAAGATATTACCATATTACAAATATCACAGAATTACAATATGACAAAAACATGTGTGTTACATACACATATACACACACATATATATACCTACATACATATATACTTGTTCCGCTTCTGTTCACCTCGCTTTGCATCAGTTTATAGAAATCTTCCCAAGTTTCTCTGAAGCCCATTCCTATCAGTTCTTACAGCACAAAAGTATTCTATCACATTTAAGTACCATAACTTATTCAGTCACTTTCCAATTGATGGGCACCCCCTCAGATTCCAATTCTTTGCTACCTCAGGAAGATCTGTAAATATTTTTGCATAGTTTATCTTTAGTTTATTTTGGTTAGGTTTGTTTTATTTATCCCTCCTTTTTAACTGACCCTCTCCCCCTTCCCTCCTGTTTTCCTGTAGAGTGAAATATATTTCTGTACCCATCGGTCTGTATATATTCTTCCTTCTTTAAACCAGCTTAGGTGAGAGTCAAGTTCAAGTGTCACTCATTCCTCCGTGCCTTCCTCCTTGTTTGTATAGATTTCTATTTGTGTACCCCAATTATGTGAGATGATTTTCCCTTATCTTCCTTTCCTTTCATCCAAGAATTCTTCTTCACTGCCTTTTCTATTCTTGTTTTAAAATCATCAATACATGATAGAGCCTCTTCCAGACTTTCAATCTAATGAGATTCCTTCTATGACCCCTGATGATGACAGCTCAAAGGGGACACAGGTATCATTTTCCCATATTCGAATATACACAGTTTATGCATGTTTAGTCCCTTATGATATAGTTTATTCAGGTTTACTTTTTAATTTTTTCTCTTAGCTCCTGTATTGCAACTTCAACATTTCTCTGAAGCTCTAATCTTTTCATTAGGTATGCTTAGAAGTCCTCTTTTTCATTAAATATCCATTTTCTCTCTGTAGGCTTATATTCAATTTTATTGAGTGATTATTCTTGAATGTAAACCTATATCCTTTGCCTTCTAGATTATTGTATTCCAAGGTCTCTGCTTCTTTATAGTGGTGGCTACTAGATCCTATGTAATCCTAACTGTGGCTCCTTGGTATCTGAATTCTTTTTTTTTTTTTCTGACTGCTGGCAGTCTTTGACCTGGAAGCTCTGGACTTTGGCTACAATGTCCTTGGGAGTTTTAGTCTGCGGGTTTCTTTTGAAAGGTGACTAGTGGATTATTTCTAGTTCCACTTTGCCTCTGGTTCTAAAAGATCTAGGCAACTTTCTTTAAAGATTTCTAGGCTCTTTATTTTGGTTGTAATTCTTTTTTTCCTTTTCTTTCTCATTGATCTGTTTACCAGGTTGTTTGCTTTTGCTATGAGATACCTTATTTTTTCAGTCTTTTGATTTTATCTTAATATTTCTTGTTGTCTTCTATATGGCTCATTATAATTTCAGGAAGTTTGCTGCTTGGGCAAGGCTTTGTACCTCTTAGGCCAGACTGTTAATTCCCTTTCCAATCCTTTCTTCTATAGCTTTCTTTTCCAGTTTTTCCTCTAGTGCTCTCATTCCATAAAAAGAAAAGAAAAACCAAAAACACATTTTAAAACTTTTTTAAAATTCTTGCTCCATCTCTTCCAGGAATTATAGTTGCATTTCTAGTGATGCCTTGCTTTTCTTTGAAGTCATTCTCTTCTTCTGGGTTTATGTCTTGAGCTTCCCTGTCACTGTGACCACTCTTTATGGGGGGATTTGGGTTTTTTTGTTGTTGTTTTCTCCTTCTTCCAGCCTATTTCCTGACTTTGGACTTGACAGAAGTGGTGGATGCTGTGCAGATCTTTCCTGGCCGGGTCCTTTGGTGTTTTCTTGGGGAAGTGAGTGTTGCAGCATTCTAGGCTCTCAGGGACAGCTCATGCTGGACACCCCCAAGCTTTCTGTGCTCCCAGAGTGGTCTGCTCCGATCACTGTCCCCTCTGTTCTGTAAGCTCCTGACCTGGTTTGGGGTCTGCCTAACACTGGACTGCTGCTGGACTCAGCCACTCGAGTAACAGAAGTACAGGCTTCTCTGGTTGGGAAGACTGCCCTGGTTAATCCTCTGACTGCTTCTGACTGGGCTAGAAGATGGAATTGAGACCCCCTGCTTTTTCCCTGGGGTCATCTGAGTCATTCTGCTACTGCTTGTTTCTGAGCCATCTCCTCTCAGTAACAGCCCCACACCCAAGACTGCATTTACTCCTTCCCCTGGATGGCCACCCCTGGGCACAGAACCTCTCCTCAAGCTGTCCTGGATCTGCGACCCAGAGTTAGGTAACGGATGACAGAGTTGCCCAGCGTGCCGGCACCTCTTCCTGCACTGGGCGTGAATTTAAGCCTCTCTATGCTGGGTCTGAGACCCTCCTTGTCCTGGTACACAATCACTGCCTGGCTGCTGGAGTGTGCCTCAGGGCTGTGCCTGGTCAGACCCCATTCCCCGTGCTCACAGGCCTCTTTGTCTCTCTTCTTATGATGCTCTGGCCTGGCTAAAATGACTGCTTACTACTTTTTTAAAAAAAATTTCCTGATCAGAATTCAGCCTGGTTGATTTTCTAGATCTCTTTTGGAGAGTTTTTTTGGAGGGTGGGGTGGGGCATTTGCTGTATTTCTTTCAGAAGTTCCTCCATCCCTTAGATCCCTTCGCTGAAATTACTTTTCATGACTCACCCATAGAGCTTCTTACTCAAATGTAAGAGATGTAACAAATTTATCAAATGTAACAAATCAAACAAATATAATCAAACAAATTAAACATAACAAAATTTCCCCAGGTAAACCAACCACTCCTTCCAGTTCTCCTCCTTTTATATTCAAGCGTTTCTTGTTAACTCGGTTTTCCCTCTACTTCAAATTGTGCTATATGTAAAAATTAAAATCTTTGCACTTACAGGTATGTCAGGATTCTTGGTTGGGGGATTCAGGTCCGACTCTTAACATTTCAGTCTTGACTCAGAACTTTGATCTCTAGCTCTGGCAAATGGCATTCAGACTCCTGGTCTAACAGAACCACTGGCCTAATGTGGGTCAGTGTAGGCTCTGGGTTGGTTCCGAAAGTCCACCGACGCTCAGTGAACTCCTCCTTGAACTCATATGACTTTCTGGCCTGTCTAGTAAGATTCTAGGGGAGATCTCACCCTTTGATACACTTCTTGCTTACAGATTCATGATCTTTCACAGTGCCCCTTCAGAATAACGACACTATTTTCTCCAGATGCATTTAGATGAATAAGTTAATCAAGGCAAGAATTATCTGCAATCTAGCCTTACTGACCATCTAACTCAATGAGGCACTGACAGTGAGTGACACCTTCTGCCTTTTATTTCTTCAGCTTGGTGCTAAGAAGGTTTGGCAGAGTGAAACATAAAATGTGTACTACATGTCTGAATGCCTCCATAGCCCAAGTACAACCTCTAACGAGGACCCTAAGTGCAGCCTCATACGTTTGAAACCGAGGGTAGAGCAAACTTCACCTGCTGTATATACAAGAGTAAGCTCTTCCTGGATCTCACCTACTGTCCAGGACAGGAACTCTATTGTTGTTCTGCACGTTGTAGATGGCAATGGTACCATTGTAAAATCCAACAGCGAGAAGGTTAGGGGATCCTATAGAGAAATCCACAGATGTCACTCCATGGAGACTCGGATAAACACGTTCTGGCCACTGAGCAAAAGAAAACAAGGCTGTGGTTAAGACAGTTATATTCTCTTATCACTAAACTACTAGATGAATTTTAAAAAATGGTAGGTGAGCAATTGCTATAATTTTTTAAATCACATTTTTAAAAAAATTAACAAAAATCTATTTTTTCTTCTTCCCACCTCCCCATTCCATAAGAAAGAAAGAAATAGAGAGAGAATGGAAAGAAAGAAAGAAAGAAAGAAAGAAAGAAAGAAAGAAAGAAAGAAAGGAAGGAAGGAAGGAAGGAAGGAAGGAAGGAAGGAAGGAAGGAAGGAAGGAAGGAAGGAAGGAAGGAAGGAAGGAAGGAAGGAAGGAAGGAAGAAAGAAAGAGAAAGAAAGAAAGAAAGAAAGAAAGAAAGAAAGAAAGAAAGAAAGAAAGAAAGAAAGAAAGAAGAGAGAAGAAAAGGAAGGAGGAAGGAAGGGGAAGGGAAAAAGAAAGGGAGAAAGAAAGAAAAGAGAAGAAGAAAGAGACAAAGAAAGAGAAAGGAAGAAAAAATCAAAGAAACATAGATGGACAGAAACAAAGGGCAATTCCTTGTAACAAGTACGAATAGTCAGGCAAAACAAATCCCTTCATGGACCATGGTAAAAAAAAAAAAATGAAATGACTCCTTCTGCACCCTGAATCCATGACCTCTCTGTTAGTAGGCAGATAGCATACGTCATCAATGACCCTCTAGAATCATGGAAGTCATTATAGTGATCAGAGTTCTCACAACTTTCAAAGCTATTTTTTCAGCGTGTTGTTATTGTATAAACTGTTCTCCTGGTTCTGCTCATTTCATTCTTCATCAATTTATAAGTCTTCAAAATGGTTTGTTTTTAGAATATCAGTGTTACAGAATGAATTATTCTTCTGGTTATTCTCACTTCACACAAGTCTTCCCATGTTTCTTTGAAATCATCTATTTCCTCAGTCTTACAGCACAAGAGCATTCCATTCCATTCATTAACCACAATTTTTCAAGCTATTCTGTATATTTTTCTAAAGTTCTGAAAATATCTTCTTCCTGAGACATCCCATATACATCTCAAACTCAACGTGTCCAAAACAGAGCTCCCTCTTTCCCAGCCACACCCTCATAGCTTGCGTCCCAGTTTTCTGAAATGAGAGTCTAGAGTTCACCAGTTCTCAAAGACTTGTGCCTACCCCCATTATACCTTAACTAACCCTACCAATATCACAAACTTCCTATAAATTAAAGTGAGAACCTTCCTATTGCAAGTCAACCTGTCAAAAAAGCATTTATTAAGCACCTACTATGTGCCAAACACTGGGGATACAAATGCAAAAGTGAAGAGATGATACCCTTGAGATGCTAGAGGAGACAACGTGTACATATGGAGATAAAACCAATAAAAGATCCTTTGGGGGGTGTGGGGGAATAAGCAGCTGAGTGATCAGGAAAGACTTCATGAAGAAGGTGAAGCTTCCGTTGAACCTTGAAGGAAAGTGGGGATTCCACGAAGTGGAGGTGAGGAGTGAGGGTGCTCCAGGGATGAGAACTAGCCAGCACAAAAGTACAGAGAAAACAAAGGGGAGCTTCTCGTCAAAGACGGGGTTTTGGTGAAATCACTGCATCCATCAGTGGACTGGCATGAAAGCTGCAAGCAGAAACAGACGTGACTTAGAGCGGAGACGCTGGCAAAGGACCAGGTTTGCCTCATAAAGAGGAGCTGGTATGATTCTTGCCACCCCTCCAATGACACACTCTGTCCCGCGACTAGGTGCCTTCCACGCTTGTGATGATCACCCGCCTCGTCTCCACCTCTTGGCTTCCATCGCTTCTTTTGAGATCCAGCTGAAATCCTACTTTCTAGAAGCCTGTAGCGGTCCTCTTTATTGCTAGTGCCTTTCCTTGCCGATGATCATCACTATTTTTTCTGTCTTCCCCAGCAGACTGTGCCCTTCTTGAGGGCAGGGACTGTCTTTTACTTTTCTTGGGATCGCCAGAGCTTGGCACAGTGTCTGGCACATAGTAGGTGCTGAATAAACGTTTGCTGACTGACTGATATGAATGTCCTACCTATGACTCCTCTGATAAGAAGTAAATGCCACTTTCCTTCCCTATATGGAGGCTGTTTGCTGAGAGGTAAAAAGAAATTTGATGTCAAAAAGACTGATCCCATCATTTTATTTTTATGCATTATGTAAACAGATGCAGTAATTAACAGGTGAATGGTGCATTTCCCAAATGAAATGCAGCCTGATCTTTTCCTATTTAATTCTGGACCCAGTTCATTGGCCCTATGAAACACCAGTTCTCGGGGTATGGACTGGTGTGTTCACTTGCTAAGATCTGACCATCCAACTGCAACTGTCCGAAAACAGATGTTATTCATCCACTTGGTTTTTCCCGTGTGGACGGTTAGGACGATACTTTGGAGTCCTTGTAGATCTCCCTGAAGAGATCCTGCAGGGCTTCATGGGATCAGAACACTGTCATCTTTAAACAGGAGGGCCTGGAGGGCCTCGCCATCTTTTGAGAATCCTTTTGCCTTGTGGATCCTGTAAAATACACTTTAATAAGCCGAGGTCTGTAAACTCGTTTTTTAAATAAGCATTTTTGTTAACTTTCAATATTTTGAGAACTACACTTCATCATTACTGCATAATAACAACAAAGGGAAAAGGGGAATATGCATTTATACAGTACCCACTATGTGCCTGGAACTGTGCTAAGTACTTTACAAACATTATCTCGTTTGATCTTCACAACCAGCCTAGGAGGGAGGTGCTGTCATGATCCCCAGTTCGTAGTTGAGGAAACTGAGGCAGAAGGAGGTTGAAGGACCTGCTCAAAGTGTGACAGGACCCTAGATTTAGTGGCAGAAGGGACTTAGAGACCACTGCATCCAACTGCCTAGTTTTACAGGTGAGAAAACCAAGAAGCCAAGCTCCTTGCCCAGGGTCACACAGAGACTAACAGTCTGAGGCTGGATTCGAACTCAGGTCCTCCTGACTGTAGGCCTAGCACTCTGTGCTCTCTGGGGCCACCTAACTGCCTCTTGTAGCCTTGTATTACAGCCTTATAAGCCCTGCATGTAACCCTATGAGGCTCCCAAAATTCCTGACTTCTCTTACATCATATATCTTCACCATAACCCTGGCATGGAGGTGTCATTGCTATCCCCACTTTGCAAATGAGGAAACAGAGGGATAAACAGTTTGTCACACAGCTAAAAATCCTGATCAAACAATGCATTGGCCAGGGCTCAGGAGGAAGGAATTGTGGTTCTTTCCTGCCAAATCCCCGGATGCTTTTTTCACAAATTCAGTAAACCTAAAATCATCTCCATTGCTAAGCAGCCGTACCAAAAGGATAACTGAGTCACGGCGGGAAGACTAGAAAACAGAGCAACCCAAGCGCAAAAGAAACAGGACTTTCAATGGCTTCATTTGACTTCCACAATTAGCACAAGGTAGCAGAAATAAACAATACACTTTTTGAAAAAATAATAAATGTGCCATGATTATTAGGGATTCGACCCACAGAAAATTAATGCAGGGAAGTCTCCGGTTATAGGTTATGTTATAGGAATGATGTCAACTTTTAATAAAGCAAATACAAAATGTTCTTCTTGCTCTTGGTTTTACCAGTGGATTCTTTAGTGACCAGCAGCAAGCCAGTCCTCTCTTCTGCTCTCTGAAGCCGAACTGCCCGTAACCAACAGCCAACAGGTCCTGAAAACCAGAAGGAGAGATTTCGAATCAAGACACAGCTGGCACAGAAACATGGCCAAGTGCATTACTCTGTTAAAGAGTTGTTTTGACAACTGCATTGGTTTAAGCCACAGCAAACCAGACTTTTTTAGATGCCTTAAAGATAGAAGCACAAGTGCTTGTAAGCATAACAAAATTATTTATAGTATAAATTGAAAATCATTTAATAAAAGTTGTAAGTCATTTAAAGAAATAGTCACAGAACATGCCTAAACCATTTGTATATACAAGACATACCCTCCACCTACCCATGAGTACACATTCTCTCACATTTGCATATTCAAACTCTCAATTCCATAATGATTCATCATTTCCATTTGAAAATCTAAGAATTGAATTTGAACAGATTCAAAATATGACTAGGGCCTTATTAGATATCAGAGATGGCATAAAAAAATGTTTCTTGCAACACAAATCCATATAAATTATGTAGAAAGGAGATCTAATTGATGTATTCACATTTGTTACATGAGTTTCAACACAGATGATCAGTTTCTAAATTATAATGACCGTAATAAAAGATTCTGTAGGCATAAAACACCTTATTATGGAGCAATTTAAAAATAAGACAGCTGCTTTGTGGGGCTGTCTGCTCCCCTAATCCCTGGACTGTGGGAACACTGGGGAGAGAACTAAGTGTGACAATGGGCTGCCATGACACAAAACATTTTGGAGACTTGTGTTCTGAAAGAACCTGACGAGGCACACAAGAAAACTCATCCCTTTGCTTCACCTTTTTGTGGGCAACAGTCCAAGGAAACCTATGGTGGATCCCTCAGAAAAGTCGTTTTAAATGCATAAAACAAAGACAAAGAAAATCAATTATATTAAAATACAATCATCAAAATATTAAAAAATTTAAAAGTTCCTGTAGCCCAGGTTAGAAATCCTTCAAGAAAAGAACTAAAGCGTTATCCCCCTGCTCTCCTACCTATTTCATTCACCAGACTTGACTTAACGTGGCTTTTGGATTCTTCCAAAAAATTAAATCTTTTTTCAAAGGATAGAAATTTGCCCCTTTGGAGGCTATTCAGTGTAACCTCAATGCTCTAGTTTGTCTATAATTCGTAAGCATTAATCAAGCTTTTACCGTGTGTGGCAGCAAGAATATAAAGAGAAAAATGAAATACTTGTCCTCAAGTGGCTTATATTCTACAGGAGGGGAAACCAAATGCAAAAATGTAAGTAAGTAAAGATACGTGCACAGTAAATATGCTAAAAGGGACACTAGGGGCTGGGCACAGTGGAGCTTGGGATGAGCTTCTGGGAAGGCAGGGATTCTAAAGACAGGAAGGGTATTTCAAACACAACAGACAATCTGGACAAAGACCTAGAGATGGGAAATGAAATGTGTCAAGAAAAGCACAAAGTTATTTTGGCTGGGCCATCGATTACATGAAGGGAAAGAGTTCCCAAAAAGCCTTTGGGCTTTTTTTTCTTTTTGGAATGTGAGTAAGGGAAGCATTGTTGGAATAAGTGTATTGCCTTCCAAGGGGACTACTTTGAAGGTGGTGACACTCAAATCATTTGGATGGATAAGTGCTAGTATAGTTCCTAAAATAATCTTACTGCTTTACTTGGTATAATCTGAGAATGTAAAATGGAGCCTAATTGAACCAACTTTCTGGTATCCCTCCTGAATGATGACTAACATTGAAATTAAAGTATAGAAAGCTGGAGTATCTGTTATGGAAAGGTGGGAGCTGCTCCTACAGTCTGATTGTCCAATTGACCCGGACCAGCCATAGTCACTATCAACAGAAGCTGCTAGCACCTAGCAAGAGTCCAAGCAGCGCCTGCCTCAAACCCTTCTTAGGAACATGCTGCTGGGAATGGATACATGTTCCTGTTTTCATGGGGTTCTAGCTTCTTGACCCTGGGGATCTGCCAGTCTTCTTTCCTGCTCAAGGCTGGAGGCCGAGAATGCTTGATTTGAACCCTTCCGCCCTGGAGATGATTTCCAAAGACTATTTGCTAACTTACCGGGTTTGCTTTGTTCCAGGCCATACTGCTCACATTATGTCCTTTTGTTAGGTCACAAGAAAACGACCACAGTCGTTCTAGATTGGGTGGGATGGGTTCTTCCACAGCCTCCACAGACTCCTCTTCAGTAACTTCTGTATCTTCGTCATCCTCACTCTGCTTAACCTTTTCTACTTGGGGATAACTCTCTTCTTCTTCTTCTTCTTCTTCTTCTTCTTCTTCTTCTTCTTTCTTCTTCTCTTCTTCCTTGCCTAAGGCACAGTCAAAAGAAATTTTTTTTTTGGCAGGGTAAACAACTAAGTCTTAGGTTTATTATTTCGACAATCATATAATGGTCAGATTAGAAGATGAAAAAGAATACAAGATCTGTACTATTTTTGACCATTAAAAAAGCATTTGATTCAGCAGAGTAAAATTCTGCCCCCTTCACAAAGTAGCTTCCAGGCATATTTCAAAATTATGCAAGATTTCCTTAAAGATAGAACAGAGATAACATTTTTCAATGACCTTTTGATCATTAATATCAAGTAAAGAATAATACAGGGAGTCATAGATTACCACATTCATTCGCCAAAATTATGGAGGTGACTCAGTATAGAATCCAAGTTAAAGAGGGATTTCCTATAGATTATTTCAATCAATCTAGCTCATGTGCCCCAACCCCCTTCGCCACCCCCAGCTTCAGGAACAGATCAAAGGGTTTTTTAGGTCACTGAGAGGTGGGGGAGTAGGTACACTGTTCTGTCATTCTCTCACCAATCCCCTCCCTGGAGCCAAAGGTTCTCATCCACAACCCTCTCTCTCTACTGTGAATGCCTTCTTTGGCAGCCTATAATAACCAATAGCACTTCCACAGAACATCTTACTGTTTCCAAGCCCCTCACCTCCCACCTCAGTTATCTATCTTGATCATCAGAAGTGCTCCAGGAGGTAAGCAAGGCTGGGATTATTATCCCCAGCCAAAAGAATTTTTTTAAAATAGATGTATGTATGTATACATACATATATATATATATATATATATATATATATATATATATATCTACATCTACATGCATGACACGCATGCCTACATATACGTATTTATATTAAATGGGGTTGCCAAAACCCAAGCTGTGCCAAACACCGTCTACAAATGAGAAGCCCCTCTTTTACTGACTCGAGCAAGGTCATCTTACAAAGCTGCCATGAAAGAATAAGTCGTTGGATAGAACTAAACAAAACACATTTATTTAACGTGTGAATTTTTGTTCTCTCCTCCTGAAATACAGCTTGGATAAAGAGCGCTTCCTGAAAACACGGCTGGTGTGTGTTACCCCTACCCTGTAATTAACTCAGTTAAGCCAGCTTAAACATCAAAGTAGCTGCTTAGACACCTGGAGCTCTCCCTAAATTCAACAGGGTCTCCTTTAAGAGACTGCAAAAGCTGTTTCTATTGCTAAAATATCATTTCACTTGTTAGGTTTCCAAGTAGGACAAAAGAGACTAACTGCAAACTGGCAAATGTTCATATGTTATTAAAATGTGCCAGTTTGTGTAGAAAATGCCAAATGAGGCAGGGGCTATGTAAGCTGCCCAGGGGCTTACACAACGGACAAGAATCACTCTTTCCCACGGTCGTTTTGGAGACTTAGCAAGTTTCAAAAGGGGTTCCCCTGGGTCAGGCCACTGGGAGGTCAGTACTCCTGGCAGCAAATCAGAACAATGAAGTAAGAGCCAATCGGGTAGGAAATAGAGAGGACCGAAGAACAGGGCAGGAGCCAGCAGAGGAGACTGGACAGTAAGCCTTCAAGGAGGCAAGGTCAGCTATGGCTAGGAATGGGAGACTTGCGATGCAAATACTGGAGGAAGAGGGTGGCCTAGTGGGGCAAGCATCAGCAGGTGGGAGATGCTGGCTTCTCCTTACCTTGACCTCTACTGGACGCATGGTATCTACTCTCGTGTTAATACGGTTCTATGATTTATCACCGTCCCTTAACAAAAGATCATACTGTCTGTTCTACATTTCAAAAGCCAAGTTAAGCTTTTTTTTTTTAATTTTTTTCCTAGGCAACTAGGTGACACAGTGGATAGAGCAGTGGACTTGGGAGTTAGGAAGACCTGAGCTCAAGTCAGGCCTCAGTCACTGGCTTTGTGACCTTGGCCGAGTCACTTAACCTCAGTTCCTTATCTGTAAGATGGAAATAATGATAGCACCTACCTCCCAAGGTGGTGAGGCTCAAATGGGATAAGAGATGCACAGTGCTTTTCAAAGCTTAAAGATTTATGTATGTATGCATATGTATCTTTATATGTATACACACACACACACACATATATATATATACATATATGTATGGGTATATATAACATGTATATACACATATATGTATGTATATATATTATATATAATATAAATGAAAAACATCTTATATATGCTAGTTAGCTATTCTCATGACCTAAAATTTAGGGATTTTTTACTTGTATGGATGTCTCAACTGATTATTTTTCCTCTCTCAAGAGAAGGTCTCTCAAGAGAAAAAAAAAAAAGATAGGGGTGGAGAGCTGGGTCCTCCACTGAGGACCTAAAAGTCTCCCTTTTAAAAATTCTGTTCATTTAATATGCCCTTCCCAAAGTCTGGCTTTTAGAGACATTACCAGGGAAAATAAACATGACTATCTTTTATTCAAACATTTTATGACACATCACACAATACTAAAAGATATGGAGAAGGCCACTTGAGGGAATTAGAAGGTTATATCATCACAAGTTACATAACTATCTTATAATTATAAGGTTATATATAATTCTAACCCAAAAATCTTTTTTTCTTTTTCCCTCTAACAATAAGAAGAAGAGCTTGTATTTATATAGCTCTTTCAGGTTTGTGAAGCAGCTTCAGTGCATCATCCTAATTCATCCTTTGATCTTAAATGTTTCTCGAGTGATCTTCACAAGCGCCCCGTGTGGCAAGGACTACAGGTGTTATTCTCCCCGTTCTACAGAAGAGAACACCAGAGACTTGGGTCCCGAAGCTAGGAAGTGCCAGAGGCAGGCTTTGAATCATATCGAACTCCAGGTGACCCATTCCTGCCCCGATGCCATGCTGCTGCCTCTGTGAGTCCCAGTCTTCTCTCTTCTCCCTCCCTTTCCAGGCCAGTGCTTGCATTCCCCAGCAAGCACCTGCGGATGTGGACTAGCCACATCCTAGAGTCGGCTCCTGTTCTTCCCCAGCAGGAAAGGCATCATCTTCCCCATCATTATCATCCCACCTCTGACCCCTTGTGGGCCCTTGTCTGGGCCAGGCCCTTCCCCTCCTCCCTGGGCCTCACTGTTCTCATTTCTACAATGGAGGGTTTGATCTAGATGGCCTCAGAAGCCCCTTCCAGCCCGAGATCAGGGTCCTTCAAGCCCTGTCCCTCCTTACCCACCATCAGGTGGTTTGCAAGGCACCACCCATGTTTGAAGGAGCTCATGGGATTTTCTCAACTACATGACTGCAACATGGTCAGGGCAGGTTACTAGTCAGTGGCAAAGCTGAGACTAAAAGAAGCTGTCCTTCCCCGACACCTCCATTTCCTCTCTTCCCATCCACTTCTCAGCCCTTTTGCCCTGGCTTCTGACCTCACCATTCACCTGCTGAGACCAGATTTGAACCCAGGTCTTCTTGACCTGAGGCCCAGTGCCCTACCCACTGAACCACCAGCCATCCCCTTTGCCTCCTCTCTCTCTTCCTGCTACTGCCCACCTACGAGGTGTGGTTCTTCTACCTTGTTCTGACTTCCAATGTCCTCAGTCGGTGTACACACTCCCGTCAGACTTTGGGAACAAAGTTGGAAAATGTCACCTTCTAAAACTGAAGCCAATGTCAACATAAAATGCAGCAAATGAAAACAAGAACCCCCTCTATGAAATCACTTATAAGTGGGTCAAGTAAGACCAAGGTCTTCTCCTAAACCTCATTAAGTAAAAAGCGTTTCCCAAAATCCCAATCAGGGAGACACTCATCCAAAAATGCAACCAGAGTAAAATAATCTGCAATTAATTAATTAGCTGAAACAAGTAGGGTGGCCCACCTCCCCCTCCCAATCATCATCCCTCTGACTACCTAGGCAAACACGCCTCTCTCTATATACATATGTATATAGCTCGGCACAAGGCCTGGCATGTAGCAAGTACTTCATAAATGCTTTTTTTCATTAATTTTTATCCATACAGTGGAAGAAACACTGGATTTTGAGTCAAAGGCCCTGGATTCAAGTTATGACTGCCATCTAACTATCTCTGTGACCATGGGCAAGCTGCTTAGCTACTCTTGGCCTTAGTTTCCTCACATGTAAAATAAGGGCATTGGATTAGATCCCTTCTGGGTCTAAATCTGTGAGCCCATGGCCAAGGCAATGTTATAACAATATTATATATTTGTGGTCTGGAGTCTAGAAAAAAAAAATAAAAGGCAGAGGGTAATAAATCATCCCTGTGTGTTTCAACAATGATTTCAAACCCAAATCTAGTAGTTTCACACTGATGTCACCAACCTCTCTGGAGGACGGACACCTGAATCTTTGTTTTTATTCCAAAAAGACGGGCCAAGCCAGCCACACTTTCAGACAGAGCTGCCCAAGGTCTCCTTGATGCCCAGGCCTGGAGACAGCATTTAGCCACAACTGACTTTGTCATTCAGTTATCTGAAAGCTCTCCTCAGCCTGGAGGGAATGGCCTAGCCAGGAAAGCAGGGCCAGCTCTCCTACTGGTGGCCAGAAATCTTTCCTTATCTGGGACAATCTCATTTTCAAGAAAAGCGAGTGTACTTTTGACTAGCTTTTGTAAAAAAGACTATCCTTTGTCAGACATTTTGCTATTTCTTGGTCTGGAAAAGAGGGTCATGGTGTATATGTTTCCCATCATACATTTTGCAATTTGGCCTCTTGAATGGACTACTTAGCAGAAGAGCCAGAAGGGACCTTGGAGGCATTTAGTCCAACACCCCCATTTTCCAGTTGAAGAACTGAGGCTCAGGGAGATGACATGACCTGGCCCAGGCCATGCCATCAGTAGTGTGTGTCAGAGGGAGGATCCGAACGTGGGAGTCTAGAGTCACTGCTTTCTCTGCCACACTGTGTCATGCTTCCCATTGCAAATCCTAGTACCCTAGTACTGTGGATAGCATTCCCATAATGCCAGGAATCACCAGTACTTGGTTTATTTTTCGTTTTGTGAGTCAATCAATCCCACTGGGCCTGATCGCTCATGGGGGTAATCATGAAATTCAGTTTCTGACCTTGCGAAAACAGTGCATCCGAACACTTGTGACTCCACCTTCCTCGGTGGAAGCTCACGCTGCCTCGCCCACCAAGCAGCCTCTCTACCGCCATTTTTGTTTTCAGGTGTGCTCTTCATTACTTGTGTGCCGTCCAATTCTGGGCTGCTCGTTTGACTCTGTATTCTTTAATCCAACCTAACTGCCGGCTTCCAGGCAATTTTTCTGGGTCTGACTCCCTTCTGAGCTCGCCCCCAACCCCTACACCAAACCCTATAGTCCCGGGCTTACACTGGTTCTTCAGATCCTGGCTTCGAGTCCTTGCTCCATGAGTCACTGACGTCCTTCATCCAGCACTAAGAGCCATACAAATTCTCCTTCCCCCGTGAGAATGTGAGCTCCTGGAGGGCAGGCACAGTCTTTCAGTCCTTCCTTGTAACCCCAGGGCTTGGTTCAGTGGCTGGTACATAGCAGGTCTTGATCAAGCCTTGATGACTCCTCTTTAACAGGATTCAAGGTCAGGGTATGGGTCAGACCGAGTGTTCCCTGATATCCCTTCAAAGGGTGCAGCTCTATTATTTTATAAATACATTTATCTCTTCCAAGTCACAACTTTCCCCATCACAGTTTTGCTATATTGCAGGTCAGTATAAGAAATTAAATGGGAATTTTGGGGAGTTTTCTGGAATCCATAAAGGCCAGCAGACGACATACAGCCTATGACCAAATACTTAACCTGAGTTTTACAATACAGTACTGTAAACACCCCATAAAAGAAAAAAGATTCAGACTTCTTCAGTGTGAAAGGAGGGACAAAAGAATTTCACGTGTATTTTCCAGATAGCCAAGGTGCTGCACCCTTAACCCCCACAATGTAGAAAGGATAATTATACTATTAAAATTACACAGTTAAATTAGATAATTAAAATTTGTTGGTCAAGGTGTTCATCTTTAGAAATTGAAGTTTTAAGTTTTATGAATCTTAACCAACTTTTGGGACACTAGGTAAGTAGAGTCCCCATATCAGAGAAAATACATTTTTTCCTGCAGGAACGAAACACAATTGTCTATATTTTTTAAAAAAAAATACCTTCTAGGATAGGAAGCTGTCGATAAGCTGCGAGTTTCGGTTGAAATATATTTTCCATGAGAACCCTCTCCATGAAAAATAAATCCTGTTGAAATTTTTCCGACTTCAATATCAACTCTGAACGATCTTCCTCTTCCTCATGAATTTTGATCATAATGATGCTTTCAACATCGATTGTAGAACTGTTTTCACTCGCTGTAAAATACCAAGAGAACAGTATGACCTAGGTGCTTAATGAAAAATTAGCCACAGAATAGTACTCAGATTCCGTGAATGCTGTTTTTCTGCTTTCAGGACAGTGGGCGGTAGAGGCAGGGGGACCCGCCCAGGGTTCCTAAAATTTCATGAATTTTCATCTCCTTTTCATTTCCCAAGAGCTACAAGTAATATGGAATGTGCATGACAGTGCAGTACATGAATTTATTCTTTTTATTGACAGAGCAGTCTCTGGGAAGGTCATACAGGCAGAGATTGCTTTCAGGAAAGATCAGTGAGAGAATCTTTCTTGTTGATCAATCCAACAAGCTGGTCTGGCTGTGGCGTGTGTGTGAAGAAGCACTGGCGCTGACCGCCAGGCATTTCTTAAGCCTTCACTTGCTGCTCTTCAGTCCTGTCTGACTCTCCGTAACCCAATTTGGGGTTTTCTTGCCAGAGATACTGGAGTGATTTGCCATTTCCTTCTCCAGCTCAAACCAGATGAGGAAACTGAGGCAAACAGGCTTAAGTGACTTGCCCAGGGTCCCACAGCTAGGAAGTGTGACAGTCCAGATCTGAGCTCAGGAAGATGCCTGAGAAAAGGCCTTTGGATGTGGCAATTAAGAGATCACTGTTAACTCGGGGGCAGGGGGGAGCAGTTAGATGGCACAGTGGAGAGAACGCCAGGTTCTTCTTCCCGAGTTCAAATCTGGCCTCAGACACTTACTAGCTGTGTGACCCTGGGCAAGTCACTTAACCCTATTTAACTCAGGTAATAGCTGCAGTTGAATGATGAGGTGAGAAACCAGGGCAAAAGGGCTGAGAAGTAGATGAGAAGAGAGGAAATGGAGGTGACAGGTATAGACAGCTTCTTCTAGGAGTTTGGCTGTGTAAGGGAATAAAGATACAGGGCAAAAGATTATGGGGATGCTGCCATCCGTTGGCCTAGGGAAAATTTTGTCCAAGACAGAAATCCCCCACTCCTATTTTACATGCTAGCAGAAGTGGTGGCAATAACAGCCCTTCAAATACTGTTGCCAAGCCGGGATCATGTCTTTCCTAGCAGGCTGTGGTGGTGCCTAAAGGCAAGTCAGCCAAAAGGAATGTCATGAGAAGAAACAATAAATTTTAATCAGGATATTGTTAATAGATGCCTCTGTGTGCAAAGGTTAAGTAGGCCTTCATCAGAAAGAACTTGCAAACTTGACTCAAATTCTTCTGTTGCTACTAACATGCCTAAGTCAGGTGATTAAACAACTAACACACAATAATAATTATAAATAATTAACAGGTTTTTTCAGGAACTGGGACACTGCAATAATCTACCTCAGTACCGTTGCTTACACAATCCCCATTGCCTTCGATATTCCCTTTTCTCTTTAAAAAAAAAAAATCCTGCAAAGACTTACATTAACTGATACAAAGTGAAATGAGCAGAACCAGGAGAATGCTGTATACAGTAAGAGCAATGTTGTATGATGATCAACCATGAATGTCTTAGCTACTCCCAGCAATGCAATGATCTAAGACAATTCCAAAGGACTCATGATGAAAAACACTATTCACCTCCAGAAAAAGAACTGATAGAGTCTAAATGCAAACAGAAGCATACTATTTTTCACTTTCTTCATTTTTCCCATTTTTTTTTTTTGGTCTATGTTTTCTTTCACAACATGACTAATATGGAAACATATTTTGCATGACTGCACATGTATCACCTATAGAGAGGGGTGAGGGAAAGGAGGGAAGGAGACAATTTGGAACTTAAAATTTTTAAAAATAAATGTTTAGGAAGCCAGTTGGGAAGATGGTGGGAAAGACAGGCTCTCCAAAATTCTCCTACAAACAAGATAAAATATCACCTCAAAGTGAACTTGGAGCAGCAGAAATCATTAAAAATTGGAGTAAAGCAGTTGTCTTCCTAAGACAATTTGGGAGGACCTTAGGATCCGACTTCCTGGGGCAAAGGTTTGACCCAGCTGAAGTGCAAACACCTCCAGGCAGCCACTCCTGAATCAACACACAATAAGCCCTGGGACAGCTGAGTTTCCCTTGGTTTCAGGAACTTACACATCATGGACAGTGCTGGGGCTAGACATCTGGGTAGGGGAAGCTATTGCTGGATGGCAGGCCCAGCTGTGCTGACCAGACATATCCTGGGCTGGGGCTGTAGGTGAGGAGGACTGAGCATATACCCAATGAGCAAAGTAGCAGAAGGGCATGGCCTTTGCCAGCTATGGGCGCTTACTAGCATGCAGAGTCCTTGGTTTGGGTTCCAGGGTAGAGGGATGAGCTGAAGTGTGCAGCCGAGGGAAGGACTGGAGCAAGAGCGTTTGTGGTGATGGTATAACTGGAGGGCTTAGCCCTGGCTCAGGGGCAGAGAGGAGTGCCTGAGGTTAGGCCCCCAGATGCAGCTCAGAAAACAATATAAAACATCTGAAGCCTGAGGCATCACTCTGCCCCACCACCTTGGGACTAGAACCTGGCTACAATGACAAGCCACTAAACCAATGAGTAAAGGAAGGAGGAAGAGCCCAATCACAGACAGCTACTATGGGGACAGAGAAGATCCAGGTGCATACTCCGAAGAAGATAGTGAAGTCTGAAAAGCCACTCCTGCTTCAAAGAAAAACGTCAAATGGTCGCAAGCCCAAAGAGTTCTTGGAAGAGCTTAAAAAAGACTTTAAAAATCAGGTAAGAGAGGAACAACTGGGAAAAGTAAGAACGACCCAAGTAAACTGAGAAAATTATGAAAAGAGAGTCAAACAATTAGAAAGAGATCCAAAAACTTAAGGAGGAAAATCACTCCTTAAAAAACTAGAATTGGACAAGGGGAAGCTAATGACATTATAAGACACCAAGAAATAATAAAACAGAAACAAAAGAATGAAAAAATGGAAGAGAAAGTGGAGCATCTCATTAGAAAAACAACTGATAGAAGCAGCTAGGTGGCGTAGTGGATAGAGCACTGGTCCTGGAGTCAGGAGGACCTGAGTTCAAATCTGGCCTCAGACACATGATACTCACTAGCTGTGTGACCCTGGGCAAGTCACTTAACCCTATTGCCTACAAAAAAAAAAGAAAAGAAAGAAAAACAACTGATCTAGACTGAGGCGAGACAATGTAAGAATTGTGGACTACCTGAAACTTATGGTTTTAAAAAAAGTCTAGATATGGTATTATAAGAAGTTAGTAAGGAAAATTGCCCTGAAGTTCTAGAACAAGAGAGTAAAATGGAAATAGAAAAAAGCCCACCAATCACCTTCTGAATACCACCTGAGAGAGATCTCAAGATGAAAACTCACAGGAACATCATCGCCAAGTTTCAAAGCTCTCAGCTTAAGGAAAAAAATACTACAAGCAACAAGAAAGAAACAATTTAAACATTGTGGAGCTTCAGTCAGGATAACACAGGATCTAGCAGCCTCTATATTAAAAGACCAAAGGGCCTGGAACATTATATTTTGAAGAGCAAAGGAGCTAGGTTTGCAACCAAAAGTAATCTACCCACCAAAGCTGTATATAATCCTAAATGCAGAAAAAAAATGGACATTTAATGAATTGAAAGACTTTCAGGTATTTGTAACAAAAAGACCAGAAATCAATGGAAAATTTAACATGTGAGATTCAGAAGAAACATAAAGTAAACATTAAAAACCAACTGGAAGGCACTCACTAAGGTCAGGCTATTTACTTCTTATGTGGGAAAATATTATCTGTACTCTTAAGAATGTTATCATTACTTGGGTAGTTTGAAAGAGAATATGTTCATAGAAAGCTTGGGGTTGAGTATTATGGGATGATTCTAAAAAATAAAATCGGGTAGGGAGAGGTAACATGGGGCAATTATCTCATACAAACCAGGTGTGAATGGAAGAACTGTTACAGTGGAAGCAGGTGGGGTTGGGGGGCTGGGGGGGCTGGAACCTTATTCTCTTCAGAACTAGGTGAAAGAGGGAATGACACCTACATCTAGAAGGGTATAAAAGTCTTCTAGATTTATAAAGAAATAGGAAGGCAAGGGAACAGAATAGGGAAGGGATTCTTAGAGGGGTAGGTAGATTAAGGTACAGGAGTTTAAGGAGAGGGAATAAGGAAGGATTCTTTAAAAGGGTATGATTAGGGAGGAGGTGGTGGTTAGAAGTAAATCAGATGTGTAAGGAGGAATAGGATAAAAAGAGAGAGTGAGGAGAATAGTGAGGAAAAATAAGATGGAGGGAGATACATAACTAGTAATTATGACTTTGAATGTGAATAGGATGAACTCACGATGGAGCAGAAACAGACAGCAGAATGGATTAAAAACCAGAATCTGACAATGTGTTGTTTACAAGAAACACATTTAAAAATAAGAGATACAGACAGAGGTAAAATAAAGGTCTGGCATAAAATTTATTATGCTTCAACTAAAGTTAAAAAAAAAAGAAGGGTTAGCCATCATGATCTCAGACAAAGTTAAAGCTAGAATAGATTTCATTAAAAGAACTAAGCAGGAAAGCTACAATATAAAAGGTACCATAAAAAAATGAAGTAATATCAATACTAAACCTACGTGCATCAAATGCTATAGCATCTAAATTTTTAAAGGAAAAGTTTAATGAATTACAGGTCGAAATAGATAGTAATTCTATAATAGTATTTAACCTTCTCCTCTCAGAATGAGATAAATCTAACAAAAAAAATAATAAAGAAGTTGGGGAAGTAAATAGAACCTTAGATAAACTAGATATGATAGCTATCTGGAGAGAAGTGAATGGGATTAGAAAGGAACACACCTTTTCTCAATGATACATGGTACCTTTACAAAAACTGACCATATGTTAGGGCATAAAAACTTCATAGTTAAATGCAGAAAAGCAGAAATAGTAAATGTATCCTTTTCAGATCACAATGCAATTTAAAAAATATTGAATAAGGGACAATGGAAACACAGATTAAAAACTAATTGGAAACTAAACAACCTAACCTTAAAAGAATGAGTGGATTAAAGAACAAATCAT